AATAAATTCGATCTAATTTAGAATTTATTAAAAAAGGAGAAACAAAATTGTAGGATAATGAAAATAAATATATTTGTTTAGGAGTTAAACGAAAGCTTGAAATAGAAAAAACAAGTGTTAAATAATTGATTCGAAACCTAACTCAAACAGGAATTTGACCATAATTTCATACAATAACATGAGACACAAGTAACTTCCGACCAACCTAAATGAATCTTTGTTATTTTAGACTCGTATATGTGGCTTCAACTGAGGCATGAGTTTCGAATAAGAGATTGAGGCGGCGGAGAGGGGGGGAATTGGTGGTTGAATGAAAGAAAACAGTATAAAACAATCTGTCTAACCTCTGCTTTTTACCAAAATAAAAAATAAAAAAATTAGAGAAAAATCAAATTGGTTTAAAAAAATTTCAATATTCTTGCATGGGTTTTTTTGAAACTAAGGATATAATGGAATTTCAATTATACTAAATTATCTGCCACTAATCTTTAATTTAGAATGCATATATAGAGATTTACAAAAAAAAAAAAACTTCTCTTATTTCTAATTTTAACTCTCTTTTTTTCAAGTCTCTACTTTCTTAATAATGTCTATTTTGACATAAAGATAAGTATTATGCGAATACCTCAATATAATTCAAAATTTATCAATAAAAGTTAACCAAATATCTAATTTTTTACTAACTAGCTTTAACAAAAAAAAAATTTCGTGCTTCCGACTATAAAATAATTAGAAATTGCCATTTTGATCCCAAAAAAACTCCCGTTACATGTAAAAATTAAAACTTTATGGGTACAATTGGTAGACATTGTTAAGGTAAAATAATTTTTAGTGGAGTAAAAGTTTAATATATAATTTATTTTTTCTGTTCATTCATTCCTCTCTTTTCTAATCACTCATCTTACCAATCCCAACCAACATTTTTTACATAACGATACAAATCACAAATTTAAAGTAGCTAATATACGTGTGTATATATAAGTTATTAACAAGGAGTCAAAGAAAATCTTACGCAGACCCACCAAAGGAGATTCTTAAATCTTTATAACCAATGGTCTGATATTTATGTAGTCACAATCACCACAGATCTTACACTATCAACATTATTTGTCTCATTACCTTCCTAATTTTTTTGTCTCAATAATTTTTGTAATTAGCTACTCATAAATCAAAAGCTTTACTAATCGAAATCTTATAATACAAAACCGAATTTTCCTATCCTCACAAATTTTATATTTTAGTATGGGTAAAATTGATCAAACAGAATTATTTTTGATAATGTTCTTGTCTTCTCAAAATCCAAGATATACGGCAGAGATTTTGAAATACACACAAACAAATTCTTAAAAACAATATCAGAAAGCAAATCAAAACCTTAAAGAATTGACTTTAACTTCATGATTGAATAACACCTCCTTAACCTTTTATAAAAATCAATTTAAGAAACTTTTCAATTACATTTTTTAATTTTAATTTTTTTTTGTTCAGTATATTAATATAATACGTGTACCCAAACCTAGTCGGCAATGGTGACACCAAGAAACAAATAAATGTGCATCTTTTCAAAAGGACAAAAATTAAAGAAGATAGCATAGAGATAAGAAAAGGAAATGAAAAGTTGTGAAAATGACCTAACGAGTGGATAATTACAGACTAATAAGGAATAATAAATAGTCTTGAAGTTAAAGACAATCGTGCAAATCTTGTTTTATTATGGACATAAATCAAAGGCCACTTCAATGGTTCTCTACTTCTCTAGTTCCAACCTTTGTCCGCAAGTGGACAACACTAGTATATAGCATGACATTTAGAAAAAAAATAGTTTTGGTTGTGTTGATGTGAGATTACTATTTTTGATCAATAATCTTATTTTTGGGCCGGATAGATATGGATTTCAAGATTTTGTCCCCTTCCAGTTAGAACACTACTAGTGTTACCTTATGAATAAGAGTTAGCTCTAGACACAAGATAAATACTTGCTAATTTTTAAGTATTTGTGACCCGTTTTAGTCTGTTCAAGTAATTGATTTTTAGACTTGATATTTGCCTTGTCCGAAACAAGTACTTGCTCTAACAAGTACTCGTTTAAAATATGATTACTTGCAAGTAGATTGCCTTGCCTTGTTACTTGCAAAATAATTTGATCCGGCTTGTTACTTGTAAGAGACTTGCTACTTGAACTAAAATAATTGAATACAAAAACAATCTCATACAATATAAATCTCAAAACATTCAAAATTCTATTTTTTTTTTATCTTTTCAATTTTGGTTTTTGTAAGTTAAAAACTATAAATATATAAATTCAAATAAGTTATTAAAGTTCTATCTATATTAAAACGAGTAACGAGTCAAACAAACAAGCCGAGCAATTATTTGTTTTAAGACTTGATATTTGGCTTGAACTTGCAAGTAATAAAATTTTATTACTTGTTACCCGGCTTGCCAACGATACATACTTGCTTTTTTAAGGCGAGTACAAGGCAAGTAGCGGGTACGAAGCAAGTACGAGTATCTAAGTGTTTAAAATGACAAACAAAACTTATTAAGAGACGTAGGTTATACAATGAGATACTTTTGTTTTTGGATTAAGTCAAGATGCATCAGAAAAAAAAATGATGCATCAGAAATGACGGTAGAACTAGAATGGTTTTTGGTATATTTAAACTTTAAACCAAATAGGGGTATAATAAAAGAAAGACACTAAATAAATCGGCAAAAGAAAGAACGATTATGAATCAATTAGATATATTTGCTATTTTTAATGGCATTTGTGGATTTTGCCTTTTTTGAATAGTTTATAGATTTCGCCATTTTTCAAACTATAAAAATGTGATTTAACATGCGTTTTACCCGTTATGTTTGAGTTTAGTCGGTTTCATTTGTTCTTAGGGTTTAGTATTTGAATAAAGTACATATTTTTGCAAAAAAAAAAATCGTAAATACGTACATTTTTAAGTATTAAAAATGGCAAATCCGGCAAATCCATAAGATTTGAGTAAAAATGACATTTTCAAAGATTTTGATGAAAAAGGGCAAAATCAACAATAATCCCGACAATTATATTAGTTGAAACGAAGCAACACGATTTGTTTAGTTTAGAATATTTTTGTGTATAGTAGTTCGTTTTGCATTATAAATGCGTTTACATTGTATATCCTTATATGGTTAGTAAAAAAAAAATTGTGAAATGTGTTACAAATCCCAAATTTCATCATTTTGAAGGTCACCAACCAAAACTGGTCAATGTGAAAGAAGGACAATCTATCAATTTAGTGAGAATATTAGGTATAAGTCCAAATCTTTAGACCAAACATCAACTGAATAGACACCAATGCACCTGACGTTGTTAGAAAAGTAAAGAATTTCCACTGATTTTCACTTCTATTGTTTTCCCTAGAAAAAACATTATTGCTTTAAAAGCCGACTATTTAGCTCACATTGCTACAATTCATTCATGTAAATTTGCGGTTTGGTTGTCCAAAGACCAAACCACTATTTTAAGTTATTTATATATATTAACAACTCTTTAGGTGAAAAGAAATAATCTCTCCTAACTCACGGTTTTCTTCTAAGCTACTCTTCTTCAATATCAAATGTTTGTTATGTTTTGAAATCAATTGTTTGAAATGTCTTGAAAACCAAGGAGGTATTATTAATTTGGCCCTCCAAAAATTTAATTGCGACAAAACCATATTAAATATTCTGATCTTTAGTCTAAAAAGATGTACGAGTTTAAGCCAAGAACTTTTTAGTAATTTAGAAAAAGAAAAAAAAAACTTGAATTGTCAAATCCCTAATCACAGAATGCATGTGTTATTTTAGCTTGTAGGTTTGATATTAGTATCACACATGCACAATTTCCAAACATGTCAAAATTATAAGATATTGCACATGTACGTGTTGTACGTAAAGTAATTCAAACATGACACATTCCAAATTTAAATATGGATTATAACATGGCAGTGATATTGTACAAACGAGTAATTACTATATATATATATATATATATATATATATATATATATATATATATATATATATATATTTGTCGAAAAATGTAATTACTATATTATGTATTTTTTGTAATATATAATTAAGAGGTTTTGAACTAAAACTCATATATTTCTTTAAATTCGGACTAAAATTTTAATAGCTTATCCGTGTTACTTGTCATTCGATCGTATAATTTCTTAGATTTTTTTCAAAATACCTTTCTATTCGAACTACTAATTTTTAGTAACTACTATGTTATGTTATGGTCGATAAATTTGTTTGTTCTTATAATAGTTTTTGACAGTGATGGAAAAAAGTCTACTTATCCAGAAAATGACCCTTTCGGCTAGCAATTTTCAATTTTCTTTATAAACAAATATAAATGATGGTTATTATTCAATGCATAATAGGTGAAGGTGTCCCTTCACTTTGTTGTATTGACTTTTATTTAATAAGTAATCCAAACTCAACCAATACGAATAATCTACTACATAAACATGAGAGTTTTATTTGAACACTCGTCTTTTAAATTTGATATTTGTGTGAGAAGCTGTCACAAATTTTATAATAAAGATTTGTGGAGGGGCAAACTTCAACCATGTCACTAGCTAGTAGCTAATCAATTTATATTCAAAGCTTTAATATTTAATGGGAGTTTATAGCTTTAAGTAGTGTAAAGAGATCAAAAAGATCAAGCGCAGTGAGTTACAAGTAGGATTCACTTTGTAATTAGAAATTTGTTTTTGACAAAATTATGAAAAAGAATGTTACATTATCTACTTTAACATCCAATCAAAGACTCACTCAAATCCCACTTACTTATATGGTTTCTATGCTTTTTTTTATAACAAATTTCTTTAGTCAAAACTCAGATTATTCAATAATAGGATTATAAGTTTATAACCACCATGCCAATTTTGTAGTGATGAAAATATGCACATCTAATTTTGAAGAATTTAGCAACACACTAGACTACAGTCACTAGTGAATTTGGTATACTTGTATAAGTAGTTGATACACTTTTATTTCCTTAACTACTACAATATGAGTATTAGGAAATCTTCCACCTTTGCTTCTTTCTCACGGTAACGACAATCACAAACGTCACCCGCAAGAAACAAGCCCTAATTTCATGGAGAGGTCCTAAGGAGAAATGTTCCAAAGAGAGTATAGCTAAAGAATCAAACACTAGACCATATAAGTCATCCCAGCTTGCAAGATGTTCATATGAGGGACAGTGAGATTCGCAGCCCCAGCTCTGCAATTCCTCCTTAGAAACGCATAGAAGTAATTAATCACAAGCTTCTTCACGAAAATCGAATTCTTCTTTGCCCTCACATCTCCATGAGCCAGTAAATACGTTAGCCCCGAGTCTGTGGCTTCTCTCAAAGCCGCGAGCTCATATTCCAGAGCTGGATCTTCCTCCATCGACGTCCCTACGCTTGAAGATGGCAAAACCTCTGAATCCAGTTCTTGCTCTGGCTCAGAACGCTTTGCACGGTGAATGAGAGGAGCCATGAGGTCGTCTGTGTAAGTATCACTTGCAACAGAATCCCTATCGGGATCAAAATCATTCATAGTGCTCTCTAGAGCATCCTCTAATGCTTCACATCTCAAGAACTTCTCTAGACTTTCAATAAGAAGCTGTTCAAAGACTCTAGAATCTTCTTTTCTAACATCTTTGTAACCGTACCTTGCGATGCACCGGAACATATGGTAGTCCTTAGGACAAACCCGTCTGAAGAGGAACCTCTCTTCTTGAGGAACAACCGGAACAGGAACATATTTGATGCAGACAAAGATGATTGTTGAGTGGATCGCAGGAAGAGTGAGCAAGAACTGTCCAAAAATGGAAGGTATGCCTTGGACAAGCTCATTGTAAAGGAGTCCAATCCCGGGGATTCGAATAGTTCCAAGAGTTGAACCGAGCTCACGCATAAAATCCATAGAGATTCTTTCCCTGACCTCGCTTTGGTACTTCAGCACACTTCCATAGTTCCAAATGTACATTACAGTGAGGAAGAAAGTGGCGAATACTAGCGGAACCCAACCGCCTTCCAAGATCTTGGTGAGAACAGCAAGCAAGTAAATGGTCTCGACTGATCCAAATATAAGGGGAAAGCAAAGGGCGAGAAATATATTGGTTTGCCAAATGAGAAGCATCACTAGTGTTACCAACACTGTGCTCACCATCATCACACCTACCTCTGCTATGCCTGAAATAAGAAAATAGAAGAATGGAGAAAACACATTAAACAGAAAGCTTTTCTAAGACTCACCATAAAAACAGAACTGACCCAAATTGAACTGAAAAACTGACCGTAAGCATTGGCGATGTGGGTTGTGCTTCTAAAGATGGAGACGACGAGTATGCACATGATCATTAAGAACCAATTGATGACCGGAATGTAGATTTGACCCATCCGTTTCTTAGAGGTGTGGATTATCTTCAGCCTCGGAAAGCAACCGAGAGCCATGGCTTGTTTGACACATGAGAAAGTCGCAGAGATCATGGCTTGGCTAGCTATCATAGCGGCTAATGTCGCAATTACAAACACCGGCCAGAACAAACTCTCTGCTCAACAATGCATTTTATCACAAATTTCAGTATTTTTGTCATTTAATATAACTGAAGCTGAGACATTTAAGGATATAGTGATCTGTTACTTGGAACTGAATCGTAGAATATGCGAGCCGAGGCCTCGGGATGCTTTGTTAGATAAGCAGCTTGACCCATGTAAGCTAAGAGAAGGCATGGGAACACCACGCAAGTGAATGCCAACTGTATAGAACGAACTGAGAAATGGCCCAAATCTGCAAACATTGCTTCGGCTCCTGCGTAGTTTCAAACACTTTGTAAGAAAGGTTTGATATATTTTAGAAGCTGTAAGGTGTTGACTTGCCTGTAATGCATAAGACACATCCACCAAGAGCAGACCAAGCCTGTTTGCTATTCTTATTGAAGAACAAAACGATGTAAAACGGGTTTAATGCTCTTATGACAGTGAAGTCGTACTTCAACAGATTATAGATTCCAATAGCACCGAGAGAGAAGAACCAGAGCGCGAGAACTGGAGCAAATAGAAAACCAACTTTACCCGTCCCAAACCTTTGTATGCTGAACAAAGCCACGAGAATCACAATCGAAGACATAACCAATGCATCTGACAACAACAACACATCAAGATTGAATATCAAAGATCAGATTGACATCAAGATTGAATATCAAAGATCAGATTGACATCAAAACAAAATTGCTTTAGACATATAGAGAGAAATCATGTGATAGTGATACCCACTTGTTCCAAATCCTTTAACTTCACCTTGTAGACCACTCATTGCAGACATCACTGCATAATAATCAAAAGGAAGATCAAACCTCAAACCACTAATTTTTTCATATTCCAAATCTTTTGGAAAACTCTATTGCAACAAATACAATAGAAAATCAGACTCACCTGACATAGCTGGTGTTAGAATTCCATCCCCAATAATCATAGAAGTTCCCATTAGGACTAAAAGCAAAAGAAGAGTTTTCAAATACCCTTTTGTCTCCAAAGCTTCTTTAATCCACAGAGCTCTTTCCAACTCAGGAGTTGGGAGTTTAAGCCTAAAACTCGAGATCTGCTCATCCGCAGGTTGTTGATTTGGCAGCTTATTCACCTTTGCATACCTACAAATAAGTGAATACAACGCAAATGTCCCTCCTGCACACACACATACACACATATACTGAGAAACCACATAAACACCACTCTACTAAAAACATCGATTCGGATGCATTACCTTCGCCATTGTCATTGGCTTTTAGGACCACAAAGACATACTTTGCTAAAGGAATCACAGCAATAGTGTAGATTACGAGAGACAAAGCTCCAAGAACATCAACTTCTGATCTTATAGGAACTTTACTAAACACATCACTGAACACATACAAAGGACTTGTTCCCATATCACCATACACAACACCTAACGTCTGAAACGCAATCCCAAGTGTACCCAAAAGTGACAAATCCTAAAAAAGTTTCCATTTTTCAATGTCAATAACACAAACACCAAAAGGGCAGTTATAAAAATCAAAACTTTAATCATGGGTGTTTAACCTTGAGATTGTGACCATGAGAACCTGCAATTTCCATAGCTTCAACATCAAGAGAATCAGCTCTTTTAGGCTTTTTCATCAATCTTCTCCTCAAATTCCCAAAACTATAGTCTCTGCCTCTGATTTCTGAAAACGGCGGCGTTTCAGAGTCAACCTCGCTTCCATCAACCCATCTCCGGTCACTACTTCCGGTACCAACACGTCTTATGCTATTGTTGCTGCTTCCTTCTTCAATTTCCTCCATTATTGAGTATTCTTCTCCAAGACGAGAAGCAGAGAAATTAACAAGAACTACTTGTCAAGAAGAAAGAAACTCTTTTTTTCTTGAAAGGATTATAATTTTGGTTGGAGGAAAAATTAGCAGAGAGATTGGATTGGTCATTGTTATTGGTTGAATGTGACTTCACTCTCTGACAACATCTCACGGGTAACATGTTCATAATTACTGTAAACAAACGGACAATTATTTGAACTACTAATAACGTTCCCAATGAAAAACTATTTTTATTTTCTTTTTCTCGATTCTCTATCCTTATCCCTTGTTTGTATAATGTAAAATCGAATTGAAGAAATCCAAAAGAATAAATTTTGGATTTTGGTAGGGATAATTCTACAAAAATATACCGAAAGTATATACAGTATATTCCAAAACGGTGAGATTTCAGAAGCCCATTTACTAAGTTTTGAAGAAGGCCCATTAGAATAGGCCCAACTATTGCCGACTTCGAAACTTCACTTTTTAGAGCAACACAAGGTTCAACTTCAAACATTCCTCTTCAATTTCTTCTCGAATCTGGTCGATTGATTTCTCCTTCGATTCTTCAGGTAACTTTTGATTCTCCTCCTCTATTTAATTGTGTATATCCCAAGCTTTCTATATAAATTAGGGTTTCTGAATCAACAATTTTCGTTGAATCCGCAGGAGAATCACTGAAGCTTTTGCGTTCCAAGTAGAAAGATATGGTAAGCGTTTCTTTAACCCTATTCTCTTCATTGTTCCAGTTCTTGGCGATTGTATTCTCTGTTTTTGTAATCATGTTGTGTTAATTTTGATTTGACTCATCTTGTCTTAAAGTTTCAATTTTTAAATTAGGGTTTCCGAGAATTTTAGATTTTTGTAAGCTAACTTCAATATATTGGATTTGTTGTAGGCAACTCTTGAAGATTCTTTCCTTGCTGATCTTGACGAGTTATCTGACAATGAAGCAGAATTGGTGAGTGTTCTTAAGCTATTTTTGATTACTATCTGTTTAATTGGAGGAGCTATGGTTTTAATTGTAGTTTGGTTGATTTTTCATATTCAGGACGAGAACAATGGTGATGTTGGCAAGGAGGAAGAAGATGTTGACATGGATATGGCTGATTTAGAGACACTTAACTATGATGATCTCGATAGTGTTTCTAAGCTTCAGAAAAGTCAGAGATATACTGATATTATGCAGAAAGTAGAGGAGGCTCTTAGGAAGGATTTAGATGGATCTGATAAAGGAACTGTGTTGGAGGACGATCCTGAGTACAAGCTTATTGTCGAATGTAATCAACTCTCGGTTGATATTGAGAATGAAATCGTTATTGTCCACAACTTTATCAAAGACAAGTACAAGCTTAAGTTTCAAGAGCTTGAGTCATTGGTTAATCACCCAATCGATTATGCCTGCGTCGTGAAAAGGATTGGCAATGAGACGGATTTAACTCTTGTTGATCTTGCTGACCTTCTTCCATCAGCTATTATCATGGTTATTTCTGTTACTGCTTCAACCACGAAAGGGACCGCACTGCCAGAGGATGTCCTGCAAAAGGTGTTAGAGGCTTGTGATCGGGCTCTAGATCTTGATTCTTCTAGGAAGAAGGTCCTTGAGTTTGTTGAAAGTAAGATGGGATCTATCGCACCTAATCTTTCTGCCATTGTTGGGAGTGCTGTTGCAGCCAAGCTCATGGGGACTGCTGGAGGTTTGTCAGCACTTGCTAAAATGCCTGCCTGTAATGTTCAAGTTCTTGGCCTCAAGAGGAAGAATCTTGCTGGGTTCTCGTCTGCAACATCACAGTCCCGTGTGGGTTTTCTGGAGCAGACAGAGATTTTCCAAAGCACTCCTCCTGGACTTCGGGCTCGCGCTAGCAGGCTCGTGGCTGCAAAATCGACTTTGGCAGCAAGAGTTGATGCTACTAGAGGGGACCCGACAGGGACAAGTGGAAAAGCTTTCAGGGAGGAGATCCGTAAGAAGATTGAGAAGTGGCAAGAACCTCCTCCTGCAAGGCAGCCTAAGCCACTTCCTGTTCCTGATTCTGAGCCGAAGAAAAGAAGGGGTGGTCGCCGTCTAAGAAAAATGAAAGAAAGGTAGCCTTTTTCATCCTACTTTGTGTCCTTAATGACTGTAGATGGAATTCTATTCATCGGTATTTACCTTGTTGCATTCTTATCTTTCTCTTTAAATCAGGTATGCAGTAACAGACATGAGGAAGCTGGCCAACAGGATGGCTTTTGGTACACCTGAAGAGAGCTCTCTCGGTAACATATCTTGTACTTGTACTTGTTAATGGCCACTTTTAATGGAACTCAAGTCTAATATCTACTCTTCATGATGATAGGTGATGGACTAGGAGAAGGTTATGGAATGCTTGGCCAGGCAGGAAGCAACAGGCTGCGAGTGTCCAGTGTTCCGAGCAAGCTTAAAATTAATGCTAAGGTCGCCAAAAAGTTAGTGTTCCTCTATTTCTCCTGTGTTTTTTTTCCGATTTTTCATGTTAATATTCTTACTGGGTAGATTAAGTTATAATGATCCTGCCCTGTTCTTCTTCCTTCATATCTCATTTGAGTCTGTTTATCAATGGCTTTTTCAGGCTTAAAGAAAGGCAGTATGCGGGTGGTGCGACTACCTCTGGTTTGACATCAAGCCTGGCTTTCACTCCTGTGCAGGTACAAAACATTTTATTCTATTTGACATTTTGTGATCCATTTGCATCGGTTTCTGACTCCAATTGGTTATCTATTTGACAGGGAATAGAGTTGTGCAATCCTCAGCAAGCTTTAGGATTAGGCAGTGGGACTCAAAGCACTTACTTCTCAGAGTCAGGAACCTTCTCGAAGCTGAAGAAGATCTAACATATGCAAGACAGAGACACAAGCTTACAAGTGTTGAAAAGCCGAGCACTACATTCTCTTGGGATTTTATCTTAGAAGAACAGAGAAGAAACTGCTTTCTCTATCTCTTGTCTGTTTTAAGGTTTCTTCAGTCACTAAAGAGACAAAAGGCATTGTTTTGATCACTCTTTGAATCACTTTTGTCATTTTGTGGCTTAACCAGATCTTGAAACCTAAAACTTTTGGAAACGTTTTATAAATTTTATTTTTGTATTAGAGGCCATACATACCTAAAGATCCATCTTCTTATCACCATCATACATGACCGCCATATGATTAACACAAGCCATTGCAACTTTTAACTACTCTCCGGACATAGTAAAAACTAGAAAAGAAAAAGATCGCACTAGTATCTTTAAATTGAGATTCAATGCAAAATGTTTATTAAGAGATCAAGGATTCACACCACTCATATGTCATCGGTGTGGTTGAGAGCACAATCGAGACATTATTCTTCTGAGAAAGTGTTGGAACCTCTTCTAACTTAAACCCAAGGTAACGTTCGTTTAACTGTACGACCATCTTGTCTAATATCTTTGTGTTTTTAAGCATAAGTTCCACGAATGAAGCCACGTTCTTTGACTCTACATTCGAACGGTCTTTATTCCAAAAGACCCCATCTTTTGATCTCCAACATTGATTCGGATTCAAGCCTTGCAAGTCCAAGTAGTTGTCAAAATAACAATCCTACACAACAGAAGAATAAACATGGTTCTTGGATTATTCGAACTCGATGATAGTCACAAGGGAGGCCATGGAAAAGAAAAATCAAAGAAGTTTATGGTAAATATACCGGTATAATGTTGCCTTCACTTGCACGAACATTCACAGTCTTTAAATCAGGTGAGTTTTGTAACAGTCTTTCTATACCAGGAATAACATACTGAAAGATCTCTGTCTGAAGAGTCATAGCTTTTATCTTGAACATCGGAAAAGGAAGACCACAAACCTCGGCAAGAGATAGAATCTAACATAAAGATAGATAGTAAACACCAAAACACATATTGATTAGTACCATTAGTAAACTTGTATAGCATCGGTACACGTTGAGTGTGCAACCAACATAAGTGAAGTAAGTAAGAGAGTACTTGAAGACATTGGAGAATGCAAGAATGAGCCAAAACATACCTGAAGAATGTTGCACCCAAATATAAGCTTCTCTGCATTCTTCAACTTGTGTAGCATTTTAAGAATGTCTTGAAGTAAATAAGCCTCCAAGGTCAGCTTATGATGTAAGTAAAAGAAAAAGTCCACTTGAGCTTCATTTAAAGACGAGACATCAACTAAAATATATGTTGACTTATAGTTTTGCAATCTGAGACGATGGATATTCGGTGCCACAATCTGCCTTGGCCGCGAAAACTCAACGCTGCATTTTATTTCTAATGTTCTTAGACGCAGCGATTTGCTAAGATCAAGAACCATAAGTCGTTGGCAGTGGGACAATGTTAAGCTTTCGAGAATCGGACAACCGGATAGAATCTTACCAATAGATTTATCAGAGAGGATACAATAACGCAAGGACAACTTCTTTAGGGATGACCACATTACCGAACATGTGGGAATTATATAAGAATTGGGGAACATAAGGTTGAGTTGCTTAATAGAGGAATTCATGTAGAAGAAATCAGGAAGCTTATAACTGCTAACAAAACCAACACTGAGGGATAGATTCTCCACGTTGCGGGACATGGCAAACTTGATCCACTTGTCCATGTGGGGAACAGCGTGTTCCACGCTGGATGTGAGATGAAACTTTATCATCTTGGGAGCTGTGTAGCGAGTTAAGGTTTCGTTTATCGAAGCAGCATGCAACATATCACTACTTTCAAAGGAAAGAGAAGGTGTATCGGACCATACATGCCTCCATCTTCTTGACAAGACAGAAGTTCTGATGGCGAGTTTCGTCGGTATAAAAACGAAGATATGTTGTTGGAGGATCTCATCAGGCAAAGAGCTGATTAGATCAATATTCCGGCGAAGACGACCACGGCGACGATCGATACCGTGGATAGGACGACTCGTAGCGGCTGTGGAGCTCTTGTAGTGCGCCATCTTACTTAGCTTGTGATCTTCTTAATTAGGGTTTTTATATTTTATTATCATTAGGTGGCGAATCTGCTTTATTAAAGTAAATGAACCATTATAATTGGTGAAGGTAAATGAATCTTAACCTTAAGTGTTTTTGTCCATATACAATTTTTCTTCCTTAACACAATCTAATGAGATCGTTTCCTTTTTTCTTTACAAGGTATTTTTCCGTATTTGTCTCGTTCTATTAACACACCAATTTTACGTATTCTCTTATTTAAAGAATTCAAGGTCAAGGTATATATATTCTACCAACATAATTTGGATCCACATCCAGTAATATGTGGACTTTTGGTCTTCTCTCATGTATCTAACATTAGAGGTAGGCACGAAGTGGATATTCGGGATTTTGGTAGTATGGGATCCAATTTGCTCCGTCCGAATAATTGGTTTTCTGATTCGTATTTGATTCGTAAGTAACCGGATATCCGTTAAAATCTGAGCTATTTGCCGGATATTCGATTTGCTTAGTATATATCAAAAAAATAATTAAAAAAATTAAAAAACATAAAAAATAATATTTCATTGAAATAAATATTTCTTCTTTAATTGTTAAAACTAATAGTTAAATAATTAATTTGATGAACATAAACTTAGAAAACTTACATATAAAAATAGTAAAATTATTATGGGAAACTTGGAAATAAAGGACATTTTAAAGGATAAATGTCCATATATACCTTTATATGAAAGGTTTGGTGAAATAGGTTTTTTAAAAACTCAAAACCCAAATATACCCCTATTATTTCAAAAATTTAAATAACAAATTTTTTTATATATTTCCTAATTTATTTACAAAATTCAGATAAATATTTTAAACGTAATATATAATAAATATTCAGTTTTTTTTTAAGATTCACTTTCTATATTTAGGAATTCTTAACATTTCAAAAATTAAAATTTATATTGTTTTAGAATAAGTATTCTAAAATAAGAAAACATTTTCTAACGTTTTCAGAACATAATGTAAATCGTAGAATGTAATTTCAAACAAAAATTAGAACATTCAGGAAAGCGTAGAATACATGTTCTACGGGTTTTAGAAATTTGTAATCCAAACTTCTGAATTTGTTAGAACAGAAAACTAGTGTAAAACTCGTAGAACATTTACAAAAGTTTAGAATAGAAATTCTGATATTCGTAGCATACTATAAAACGTATTCTAACAATATTAGACGAAATTTTATCTATAAAAAATTAACTTTTTTCAATTAAATCACCAAGTTTCTTTTACAAAGCATCTATATTCTTATATATCTACATGTTTTGTTGTTAAAATCATTAAAAAAATGTTTAAAATAGGAAGTAGGAGAAATTAAGTCCAAAGTGATATTCTAAAAGAAAAGGTGTTTATGGTCAAATATTTTATCAGGCTTTTTTATTAATATTTTTTGTAATTGTTAATATATATTTGTAATTATCTATATACATATGTTTTTGTATACCGGATTAGAGTGAATATCCATCTATTTAAATTTTAGTATTTGTTATTTGTTTCGCTTTTAACAAATATCAACTTTTACTTAATTATTTAATCATTTTTTAAGTATTCTCTAGAACTGCTCTTATGACAATAAATTGGTATTTCACAATAAATTATTTTTCTAACTTCTCTTAATTAATACTTCCTCCGTTTTATAATATAAGGCGTTTTGAATAAAGATTTTTGTTCACAGTATAAATCGTTTTCGAGTTTCAATACAAGTTATATATTATTTTAATATTTTATGATTATTTATATTATGTAGTCTTTTTTATAATTGGTTGAATTTTTTAAAAATAAATCTTTTTAATCTGTGTGTTTTACCTAGAACGATTTATATTATGAAATGGAGGGAATATAAACGTGATATATTATTATATGATGTAGTGGGCTACGCTGGACTTTGCAAAAATGGTTTTATCTGCTATATATTAGGTTGTAGCTAAAATAAATGAGAAATTCAATAAAAAGAGAGAAATTATAACAAATATCAAGATGGGTCCTCTAACTTATTATATGTTTTGATTTTTCTATGAGAAAACTGCACCGTCCATTGTTTCTTGAAAACTCTTATCTGCCCAAAAGAACAGGAAAAGGTAAAGAAAAGAAAAGAGAAAGAGAGACGACTCTAATAAGATACTATATAGCACAGTCTCACGAAGACCTGAAAACATATATTTCTTCGAAGCAGTGTCTAAAACCAATGTACAAATTCTCACTAAAGGAACACGTTATTTAAAAACCTCCTAATTAGTCATTCAAGAACAATTAATAATGTTTTCATCCAATAACATCCTCGAAGTCTCCTCTAAATCATCGGATCCAACGAAATTCATGTTTATCTAAACTAAACTCGATTATATAAACAATACAATAATTGCACTATGAAAAATATCAGAAGCGTCATAGAAAATTAGAAATTGTCGGCTACCTCCATGCACGGAACCTTCGCGAAACACTTGGTCCCTCACACACTTCATCGCCACGCTATACCACGCGTCCAATTTACATACCCCAAAAATTATCAACGAATCATACCTTTTCACGTGTCAGAAACTCTGTTACCACGTGGCAATTTCAGACCCCAAAACTAGCAACGAATCAAACCTCTTACGTGTCGCAAACTTGTAGAACGTTGAAACCCCACTCACACGAAGTGTATATATCCTCCTCACAACACAAACATAAAACATAACCTCAGAAAGACTTGAAAGAACTATCTTTGTTTTTCCTCAAAATCTTATCTAAATGATCCATACACAAACCGGGTCGAATCGTCGGATTCTGACCTTTCCGGCAGTGAATCCATGCGAATCGATCTCCATAACCACTCTCGTCGACTCACTATTACAACTCGCCGGCGAGATTCTTAGCTTCAAACCAAAAGACTTCTCTACCAACAAAAGAAGTGTTAAAGAAACCCTCCGACATATCCAATCTCTTGTGATCTTCTTCGAGGAGCTCCGGATTCAAATCCGGGTCGGGTCAATGCCCGCAGGTCGTTCAGCAATCTTGAGCCTTTCAGAGCTACATGTCATCTTCCAGAAACTCAAGTTCCTTCTAGAAGACTGTACAAGAGAAGGAGCTAAGCTATATATGTTGATGAACTCCGGTCAAGTCTCAGCTCATTTCCGGGCTTTGAGCCGATCCATATCCACTAGCCTCGACACGTTTCCAGTCGGGTCTGTGGACTTACCTGGAGAAGTCAACGAGTTAATCTATCTAGTAATGCGTCAAACTCGAAAATCCGAAGCAAGACCTGACCGAGACGACAAGCGGGCTATAGACTCTGTCTATTGGTTCTTTAATCTATTCGAGAACAGAATTAACCCGAACTCGGATGAAATACTCCGAGTTCTTGATCACATTGGTGTCAGAAAATGGAGAGATTGCGTCAACGAGATTGATTTTATACGAGAAGAGATCTCCGCGGGGAAGAAGAGTAACATCGAAATCGAGCTTCTTAGCAGCTTAATGGGATTCATATGTTACTGTAGATGTGTGATACTTCGAGGCATTGATGTAGATGATGAAGAGAAAGACAAAGAAGAAGACGATTTGGTGATGATTCGAAGTTTAAACGTTGATGATCTTCGTTGTCCGATTTCTCTAGAGGTCATGAGTGATCCAGTGGTTTTAGAAACAGGACACACGTATGATCGGAGCTCTATCACAAAGTGGTTCGCTTCCGGTAACATTACGTGCCCTAAGACCGGTAAAACTCTGGTTAGTACTGTGTTGGTCGATAACTTCTCTGTCAAGCAAGTGATTCAAAGCTACTTTAAGCAAAACGGTGTGGTTTCGGGTCTAAAAGGGAAGAAGAAGACGATTGTGGCGGAGAGTTTAGCGGCGGAAGAAGCCGGAAAACTAACCGCGGAGTTTCTCGCCGGGGAATTGATCAATGGAGACGAAGAAGAGATGGTTAAAGCATTAGTGGAGATTCGAATTCTCACCAAAACGAGTAGTTTTTTCAGATCTTGTTTGGTGGAAGCTGGTGTTGTTGAATCGTTGATGAAGATTCTCCGATCGGAAGAGCAGAGGGTTCAAGAAACCGCCATGGCTGGGATTATGAATTTATCGAAAGATATCGCCGGAAAAACTCGAATCGCCGGAGAAGACGGTGGTGGAGTAAGGCTAATTGTTGAGGTTTTAAACGAAGGAGCTAGAAGAGAGAGTAGACAATACGCAGCTGCTGCTCTGTTTTATCTCTCTTCCGTCGGAGATTATAGTAGATTGATCGGAGAAATCTCTGATGCGATTCCGGGATTGGTGAGAATCGTTAAAAGTTGTGATTACAGTGATTCAGCGAAACGCAACGCGTTAATCGCGATTCGAAGTTTGTTAATGAACCAACCTGATAATCACTGGCGTGTCCTCGCCGCCGGAGTTGTTCCCGTTCTTCTCGATCTTTTGAAATCGGAGGAGATCAGCGACGGAGTTACGGCGGATTCGATGGCGATTTTAGCGAAAATGGCGGAGTATCCCGACGGAATGATTTCAGTGCTCCGTCGTGGAGGATTGAAACTTGCGGTGAAGATTTTGGGTTCGTCGGAGGTTTCGCCGGCGACGAAGCAGCACTGTGTTGCTCTGCTTTTGAATCTGTGTCATAACGGCGGAAGTGACGTCGTTGGGTCTCTCGCTAAGAATCCGTCTATTATGGGGTCGCTTTACACGGCGTCAAGTAACGGCGAGTTTGGAAGTGGGAAAAAGGCAAGTGCGCTTATCAAATTGATCCACGAGTTTCAGGAGAGGAAAACCGGTCCGGTTGAACCGGTTCTAGAAAGAGAACGCTTTATCCACGCCTGGTGATTTGATGATTGATACACACCACTACTCAGTAACTCTTTGAGCTTTTTTTATCAGAGGGTTAAATATAACTTCATTTTTATAGGTTAAGGATGTATTTATACGTATATATTTTACATATACTTGTATATTTTAGTTCTGGGATTTTTTAGTAACCCAAGGAGCTAATACTATTGTAATCAGTTTCTGGTTTTCAAAGAGAAGCTGTGTGCAATAATGTCAATGTGTATTGTGTACTGTAATAAAGAACTACTATTTGTAAACTAAAGAGAAGAACAAAGAGAGCTTTAAACTCAAGTGGTGCAAATATTTATTCTGTGAACTAGAATGTATATTTTGTATTTTCTTGTTTCAATCTCTTCTTTTGCATTTAAACATGGCGATTCTTTTTTTAATCCAAAGACAAGAAAACTTGGAAAAAAAATGGGATACTAAGCAACAAAGGAAGATAAAAATCTTTAAAGAAAAGTTTCAGGCTTTGGATTTTACCGGGACTCCAGCTTCGACCCGCTTGATCTCAAAGATGAGCATTCTCCACATCTTCAGCACAAACATCTCAGCTTCTTCGTCTAGAATTGATTGCAACAGCTCAAGCATCTGAGACGCCTTCACGTGTTGTTGAGTGTTTGACACGATGAAATCTACCAGCGTGGCTTCCTCTTCTCCGAGAAACTCCATAATTTTCTTTGAGATCCATGGTCTCATTCTTTCGTGCACTTGGTGCTTTTCAATGTTAAGAAAGGTGAAACATGTCAGCACCAAAACAACTCACAGTCAAGGTAACAAAAAACAATGATCGAGTAAAAGTGTAGTGAGATTTATGAGTAACTTACCTTGTCATACATAGCCCAGTTTATCTCGTACGAAAATAAGTCTTCCTTTGTCTTTGGGATAGTATCTATCAATTGTTTCGCATCCAGAAACTTGGTATCAGGTATCTTTGCTTTTCCAGACTCTTTAGCGTCTTTGGTTGGACCACTATGCCCGTCACCTCGGTCCCTGACTCTGTCCCTGTCCCTTTCCCTTTCCCTGTCCCGGTGGCTTGACTTATCATGAGAACGTCTGCTCCTTTGTTTTTCGGTTTCTATTGTCTCTTCCTTGGGATTGGTACTCGAAATTCGTTTTGCAAATTCAGCGGCTAAAGCCAAATGAGGTGGTGTATTCCCTGAGCCACCATGGGCCACGGCCTCCTGTTCCTCGGTTGAGTAATCTATAGGAACCAAAGGTTTCATCTTTTTAGCCTTACGCGCTTCGTCTTCATCCTCCTCATAGAAAACAGAAGGCACAGATGTTCGCTTTCCGGATCCCACAAGCCCAAATCCTAATTTCTTTGAGGGAGCATGTGCCTCTGATCCACTATTATTATCAATAGCCATGGATTCATTACCAGAACCATTTTGTTCAAAATCTGCAATTGGCAAAGGGAGCCATCAGAAATAGAAAGAGAGACAGAGAAAAAGGAGAAAGAAGATAATGAGAATAAGACAGAGAGAATATAAACTCCTTACCTGCTGCATGGTGCTCATTGGCAGATTCACCGACAGTTTGGAGAGTTGCCTTATGATCATTTTCAATAGGTGATGTCTGAACCGTTTCACTTCCAATAGCTGCCTGTCCAGATAGGATCCTTAAGGCATCTAATTGTTGTTGCTGCAACTTTTGCTCCTCGGCATTTCTCTTCGCCTCAGCAACCTCTTCCTCTTCTTTCAATCTATCAGCTAAGTCATCCTCCTTTTCTCTTAGTCGTCGTCTTCTTCTCTCATCTAATGCAGCCCTATGCCATCTTCTTCTTGAATCATCATCGTCTTCTTCCTCTTCTTCTTCATAGCGGATTTCCTTTTTCCTCTTACGCTCTTTATCTTTCTCTTTCTCCTTCTCGTACTGTCGTTCCTTCTCCTTTTCTCTTTCACTGCGTTCCCATTGTCGAAGACGAGTCTGGTAAGCACGCTCTGCATCCTCAAGTTTCCTCCTTAGCTCTCTCTCTTTCCTTGTCCGTTCTCGTTCAGCCTCCCTCTCGAGTCTATCAATTTCTTGCTCCTTTTCACCTCTTTCTCTGCTTCTTCGGTCATTTCTCTTACTCCAATCAGGTGAGCTTGTGTCAGGCCTATTCTGTTCTCTAGAAGTCTCAACATCATTTGCTGCGGCATCTACATGTAAAAATATCCTATCAGACCAATATTAAAAGGAAAATAGAAAATGGGAGCCGTATTAAGGACAAAAAAAAAGAGAGAAGAAGATTAGTGGAGGTAAAAACAGACCACTCCTAGCTATGTCAGTGTTGGAGTCACCATCCTTAGATGTGAAAGCAAGTTCCATGCCTGAACGATCAGCAGGTGGTGGTGGGGGTGGTGGAGGCAGAGGGTTGGACTTTAACCTTTCTTCAATAGCACTTTCAATCTTTTCCATAGCCTCTCTGTCTGCTTCCCTTTCTTCGTCATTTATGACCGCAGAATTCGCAATATCGATGTTTTCTTTACTCTTGGGTTCTCCATCTTTCCCTGTCTCATTTTCAGCACTCTCAAGTTTTCGTCGCTGACTTTCAGGACCTTCAGCTTGGTTCTCTTCGGTTCCTACAGCTTGACTTTCCTTGGCTTTCTTTGCAGTCTCTATTTTCTTCTCAACATACTTTAGCAAATACTCCTTTGTTGCTTGATTAACATTCACCTACCGACCATATAGAAAATACAATGAGAATAAGGTTAAGAGAATACCGTAGAAGCATATATAGAACTTATTGACACAGAAGTGCATCTGTTGGAGAAACATAAACATATTTTGAAATGAGAAGAGAAATCCACAATTACCAAAAGTTCTTGTCCATCTATAGTACGTTTGGTCAGCAGGCGTATTGCACGGAGAATCCCTTCAGCTGATTCAAATTCATAGAATCCAAAACCTTTAGGTTTCTTGGTGGTAGGATCTTCCGCACGTAAACAGCTTTTGACATGGCCACAAAACTGCAGAAAAAAATGACAAAATCAACTCTTATAAAATGTATAGCAAAAGAGATGGGAGTAAGTGCCTCGAACATAAACAACCTTAAAAGTAGTAGAAGACGAAAATACAGATAGAAAGAAGAAAACAAACCTCAAGAATAGACATCATAAAGTCATTTTCCACGGTTGCTATCTTGCCAATGTAAATTGTGGTCTGGGGCTTTTCTGCAGGTGTTACAAAAGGAAGAGAAGCTGGTCTAACCATAGGAGGCATTACAGGACGGAGACCAGGCATCCCTGGGACTGCAGGCCGTGGTGCTAGTTGAACAGCACCGATTGTACCAGGCGGGCGCATAATGAACCCAGGACGAACCATTGTTGGATATGGAGAAGGGTACCGGAGAAGCCCTGCATAAACAAAAAAAAGTCTCTACAATTCATCAATAAAAGTTTACATAGTAATATCCGAACAACTGCATTGGCATAAATCAAGAGTATCAAGAAGTTAATTGAAAAAATCATTTTGTATTGTTACCACAAACTAGAGCAAATTAGATATGCACACCAGAGGCAGTACAAATACCACCAGCTGAACAGAGAACCTGAAGGACACATTGAGAAGATAGCACCAGTACCGTAGTCATTATTACCACATTAAGTAGTCTGTAGTCATACCTCATAGGACAACTTGAAATAGGTAAGAATCTATAATCATCTGATAAATGTTGAAGCTGAGATGCAGTAATATTGAAAAGCCCATCATTTCATGCCCATATGGAACTTATAAAAACTATTACTACCCATCAAAAAAGCTTTATTTCATCCTTTAGCAGCTTGTCCCCAGAAGGGAAAAGGAAAGAGAAACATGTGGAAGATGTAACGGAAGGTGTAATTTGAAAGAATAGCAATACCTCAAAACCAAGACCAAGGAGCACTCAGTCGCTAGAAATGCTTGCTGCTGGCAGTTGGTTAACCCATCAAGTTAAAAGTTCTTAAAACTACAGTAATTCTCAATTGAACATATAAACTGGAGAACATGAGGCAAAATTTTCAAGAACCTTTAGGTAAGCGGTTTAGTTAAGATGTGTTACGAATGTTATCTTCAAAGGGAGTTACACTAACTAAAACAATTAAGGAGAGAATAAGAAGAACAAAAAGCGAATTTGCGCATACCAAAATGAAGGAGTCGTAGAAGTGAGTCCCTACCCAAAATTTGATGCCTTGCAACCATTCTCACGGAACTCAATCAAGACGCTGTAGGAGAAAACACCCGGTCATCGGTGTCCCTGTTTCTAGTTTTCTCCCTAATTCCTTTTTCAATAAAACTTCTTTCTACTCTAAACTTTAATCTCATCTATCTAACTACATAGACATATAGTTCCCCTTCACTACTTTATCAATCACATATTCACATTCAACATTCACAGAACGAAAAAAACGCCACGGAAAAAAACTCTATAGCCTAAAGTGCATCATAAACAAAAAAGAGTAAAACTTTATAAAATTAAGAGATAGAAGAACCCACCCGGAGGAGGAGCAACACCATGAATTCCGGGATAACCATTAGCCATAGGCTGGAAAGGCCTCATACCAGGCTGGTTCGGAGGCTGCAGTTGATACTGAGGCATAGATCCTGGAACCGCCATAGAATTCACGCCGGGAGGAGGAACTCCAGAGCTAGGGTTTTGAAAATTCCCAGCGGGAGTGAACTGCATACCGGGACGGAATGGTGGCGGTGGAGGAAGATTGGTGGGGAGAAGTGAGCCAGGAATCTGTGACGGAGGAGTATAAGGCGGACCTGGTGGAATCAGAGGAGCGACTTGTGGTTGCGAATGGTGTTGAGGCGGTGGTGGTGTTAGTGAAGGATTGGGATTTGGATTGGGAATTGGAATCGGAGTAGTGGGTTCTGGTTTCTGAGAATTGAGATCCCCCGTGGCCGGAGAAGAAGATTCGTCGGCCATGGGAGTGTATAGCTCGGTTACAAGCTTTGGCAATGGAGTAATGAATGACTTCACCGAATCTAAGATTTTGTGCCCTAGAAATCAGAAACTCCAATTTTAATTACTCTTTATCTCTGTGTGTCTAAGTTACAATTTCTTTGCGACAAAAAGGAAAAAAAAGTAAAACTTCGTTTATTGTTACACGTGTATGTATATTATTGGCTAGTTGTTTCCATTGTTTTTAAAGTCAATTTTCATCTATACAAGAGACAGTATAAGCTAGCGTTCGGATATTCGATCGGCATTCTATTCGGTTTCAGTTTTTATTTTATTTTATTTTAGAGTTTAGAATCCTTTCAGGTATTTTAAAATTTTGGTTTGGTATCGGTTCGATTCTGGTTATTTGGATTTTAAAATTTAGTATCCATTCAAACATTTGTTTCAGATATTTTCGGATATTTCAATTATTTATGGATATTTTCAGATATATTTGGATATTTTTCTATTATTTTCGAGTATTTTAGTATTTTATATATATATTTTGGATATATTTGATTATTCGGTTTATAAATAATTAATATTTTAAAATATATAATTATATTTCGGGTATATTCGGGTACCCGAAATATTTTACTTCGGTATCGGTTTGGTTCTAGAATTAGGATCCATTCGGGTATTTTCAAATTTTCTGTTCGATTCGTTTTCCTTCAATTCCATTTCGGTATATTCAATTCGGTTAATTTACCCAGACCTACTATAGGTAATCGGGAAAGTATTTTTTTCATCTATACTTAAAGAAAATTAATGGTCATTTGGTTAATTGACCAATAAACTCTTAATATATTCAATTTATTTTTAATGATATTATTGATAATTTTGCTAGTAATCATTAGTCAATATACTTATTTTATGACGAATATTACAGCTTGACTTTTCAGTTTTAATAAAAATCACTGTGTAATGATTACTAGATTTTTTTCATTATTAATAGTGATTTTAAAATTCAAAATTAATAAATGTTAAAGATAGCCGAAGTTATTGTAGAAATTAAACTACATAAATATATATGTTAAAAGTATAAGATACCAAATATGCAACTTTGGAGTGTTTAGAAAAGAGACTTTTTTATCATATTAATTGTGTTTATATTTTGAAAATATTGTAAAAGATTTATATTATAACAAAAAAAAAGTAAGAACCGAAAAACAAGGTTGTTGTAAATACTATATGCTAACTTAGAAAATATATCCATAGAGTTTACTAAATTTAGAGATTTATTTTTAAAAGAATTAATATTATTAAAAAAGTTTTAGACGCACTATTTTCTTGCCACAAACTATATATACATATGTGTTTAGCTCTAATCTTCAAACTCCTTAATCATTTAAGTACCAAAAAAAACTCCTTAATCATTTCGTTTTCTAAAAATCATTCTTAGTTATATTTTTAAGGCAGTTAAAAGTTAAGTACAATGGATCCCAAAATGGTGATAGAAAAAAAACTAACAGAGAGTGATCTTTCCTGGCGTTGTATTTTAAAGTTACCCAAAAAGAGTACAGAGAAAATATTGAATAAACATAAAATTAGAATGCCTCATAATGGTCTTCAGGTGCAAGTTCTCGACGATGACAAATCATATACGGTTAACCTTAGAAAAAGCAATAATAGGTATCATATGGGGACTGGATGGAAAAATATCATAGAAGCGAGAGGTCTCAAAGCAGGAGATCTTGTCAAATTCTATTGGAAAGATAATAAATTCTTTTTGTTTATAGAGTGAGTTTTTCTATTAAAAAAAAGTTATCTAGCTCTCATTAGTTTTCATTGTCTTAATAGATCTGTTTAACTAAGTAATTTTTTTTCTTCTGAATAATGATGTTTAGATGAGTTTTATATGTTCCATAACTAAAACATAGCATGTCAATTTACATTATATATATATATATACTCTAAAAGTATAGATAAGATAATAGATTTCATTGTAATATAACTTATATGGCCCTAAAAGTTGTATACAAAAACATGTTATTATGGAGTAGTTATACAACATACTCATTTGTTTTCTAGAAAATTCAATATATTTATTAGATACTAAGATTTGTAGTTAAAATCTTCAAATGGTGACAACAGATCATGCGATCCAAATCAAAAAGGAGAATGTAGTTCAAGTACGGCTCGTGCGGGAGAAACTTAATATGCAAAATAAGCAGTGAGCGGTGAACGGAACAAAAGTTGAATGATAAATATTAAAAATGTAGTCTAAGATTATAATTTACTAAATTTTACAAATATTTTGAATGGCTGAAATTTGTTTCTATAAATAAAATGGTATTGATCAATGTATTTAATCGATAGATTTTTAATATATATTTGAATTAAAAATTATAATAAGAAAATAAAAATTGCACTGTAAACATATATTGCTTTGAATGATTTTATGGATAAGGAAGATCAATCCAATCAAGAGCGGTTTAAACAGATCATGCAATCCAAAATGTTTGTTGAATGGTAAAAAAATATAATAAGCAATTCGAACTAAAAATATATTTAATGAAAAAAATTAAAGAGATTTTTTCACAAAATGCCTTTTTTGGTGTGCCCCTTTCAAAAATACTCCTTTATGTGTCTATTTTCAAAAATACCTTTCATGAAATCTGAAAAGTTTATAAAATTTCGGAAAGTTTTTAAGGTACTTCTTGATGGTGATTACTATTTGGAGACACGATCCAGGTATTTATAAGGTTTTATAAGGTATTTATAAAGTATTTATATGATTTTACACACATATAAAGGTAGTTTGTGTATGGTTTAATAAAGTTACACACGTATTTGGGTCTCATATTTTTACAGGCATTTTTGATAAGGTAGAGAATAAGCATTTTTGAAAAGTGGTGTTGGAGAAGGCCTCCAAAATTAAAAATAATTTTTTAGAATATGTATTTTATATAATAATTGGTACATGTATGACACGGGAAGCTGGAGTTGGGTATGGATCAAGTTAAGAAATCTGGCTAGAAAAAAATAGAAGAAAAACAAAAATGATGATGAATATAAGATTCATGCATGGAAGTGAGGGTTGCTGGGAAAATTCATGATTGAACAAGTATAATTATAAAATTTTGACTAGGTGTTATAGTAATCATCAAAATAATTAGTTTTTAAATAATATCAAAAGATAGCTTATTTGGATATTATTTCATGTAGCAAAATTATTTTGTTATTCAAATATAAATTAATTCACACAATTTAAGAAAAACAAAAAAGGATGGAAGAACAGTCCATAAACACCAAAAATGGTGTCCATGATCTGCCTACGGATAATTACTTTTCTTCACAAAATTAATAGTGTGTGGTTCACTAAATTTAAACGGAGAAAAAAAATTTATTCTACAAGTGTTGGTGAAACGCAAATATGGTACCATTTATGATTAAAAATTTTAAAAAGGTAAATTGACAAGAGACGGTCCAAATAACAAAGAAAATTTGATGAACCGCAAGTTGTTCATGTATACAGTAGATTTTAGAGATGTGGTCTACTGTATTTAAATTCAGTTTAATAATTTGTTTGTTTATTTAATTTTTATTTATTTTATTGATCAGTATAATTCTAGTGGAAAAAATAAATCCTACATGATAGTTTTTATTGTATAACAAAATTTTACTTCGTAAAATAATTAATTTAATCACTCAAAATCACATGAAATTTTTCTTAAGCTTTAATAACTTTTATACCTTTAAAAAATATGCTATCGAAATTTTATTATATGTCTTGCATATTTTATTGGGTATACTTTGATTTTATTTTTAAATAGATCGATACTGTTACTATCTTTTCTCTTTTGTGAGACTCAAAATAGACATTTCTTCCCTTAATTATCCGAAATAGTAAAATCATTATCTCATATACTGAGTGTTCGAATTACATTGTTTATGATATATGAAACATTCAGTAATGTTAAAACAAAACTAAGCATCAATAATTAATTTTTTTTTATCAGAAAAGTCTTTCTTTTCGGTAAAATACTTAGTAGATAAAGATATATAACCCCATTATGGATATGCAACTCTTGTGAATAAAATTGAAGTTAGCACGTTTACTTCTCGTCGACGTGTACTAACCAACATCTGGAGACGGTAAAATTCTAGTGAACATCACAAATTTAGCTTAATAAATCAAAGACTTAGATATTAGCATATTTGAAGGAGATGTTATGAGTTTATGTCACGGATGCTGCTATTGTCAAACATGCAAAAGGTAGTAAAGAGGAATGATGATTGGTACACTAAAAATGGCAGATATGAGTTAGTCTTGAGCATAGGTCATGTGAAAATCCAGCGACGCCAACGATTCAAAATCTGGGAAGAAGCTCCGTCCAAAAACAAATACAGCGACTGAGATAGAAAAAAAAGAAAGCAAATTTCTGTCGCACGTGGCTGTCGCTATCGCTCGCGGCTTCCAAAAGAACAAGCCCTTGGTAATTAGATCAAGCTTCATCGTCTAGATTATGGAATACACGGTGATTTGGATACAACGGTATTTCTTATCTAGCAGTGATGTGGCGTGGAGTATCCGTAACTCGAGGCAAATTTGTGACTAGCGTGACCATTATGAGTTGACAAAAATTGAACCAAACCAACTCGAGATTTATCAATTTGAATATAAACTAAATATTAAGAATCTAAACTAAATAAATATTTATAATGAATTATTTGAATCGATTCCAAATTTTTCTAACTCAAACTATATTAACCCAAATTTATTAAAAAAGATTAATTAAATCAAATTAATAGATTTATTCGTACAATTTTGTTTAAAATCAGAACCAAAATAAAATGTTTCTATTTAGGACTTTTTTTACAAAGTTGGAAAAATTCAAAACTCAAACTGATAAAAACTGTACAAAATAAGGGTTTTTTTGTTGTGTATTACGTCGTTAGAAAATACTGTTTTTAACAATAATGATCTTATATACTCCCTCTGTTTTTTAAAAGTTGTCGTTTTAACTGTATTTAGACAAATTAAGAAAAAGTATACAATGACTATATTAACCTCATAAAAATGACAAGTAATTATTTACAAATAATTTGTGTTTAATTAAATGAGGGTAATTTGGGTAGTTATTGGCATAAGTTACATTATTACCTTAAAACGACAACTAATTTAAAACAAAAAAATGCTCTAAAACGACAACTATTCGAAAACGGAGGGATTATTTGACAAGCAAATCTAAACTAGGGTTTTGAAACCCTATTGATGTGTTGAGCAAAGTAAATGTTTCATTACAATACACATACATTTTTACAAAATTGGAAAAATCCAAAACTCAAACTGATCCAACCTGATAAAATAAGTTTTTTTTTTCTTCTCGTGTGTTATGTCGTTTGAAAATATTTTTTTTTTAAAATGATTTTATATATTTTCACAAGCAAATCTAAACTAGGAAAAATCCAAAACTCAAACCGATCCAACCCGATTAAATTAAGTTTTTTCTTGTTTCATGTGTTATGTCGTTAAAAAATACTATTTTCGATGATGATTTAATATTTTCCACAAGCAAATCTAAACTAGGGTTTTGAAACCCCAAATTAACGTTTTGAGCAAAAATAAATGTTTCATTACAGTACACACACATTTTCACAAAATTGGAAAAATCCAAAACTCAAACTGTTCCAACCCGATAAAAATAAGTTTTTTTCTTGTCGTATATTATGTCGTTAGAAAATATTTTTTTTTATATATAAATGATCTTGTATTTTCCACAAGTAATCTAAACTAGGAAAAATCCAAAACCCATACCGACCCAACACGATAAAATTAAGTTTTTTCTTTTGTCGTGTATTATGTCGTTAAACAATATTATTTTCGATGATTTTATATTTTCCACATGCACATCTAAACTAGGGTTTTGAAAACCCAAAATTTATGTTTTGAGCAAAAGTAATTTCACGACAATACACCTACCCATACATTTTCACAAGCAAATAATTTCTCAAATTGCAAAATTACCAACATTTACGAAATAACAAAAAAAGGAAAAAATCTTCTCTTTTTTTGGTATGTGAAGAAGAAGAGTCATACATTTTCACAAGCAAATAATTGCTCAAATTGCAAAATTACCAGCATTTACGAAATAACAAAAAAAAAGGAAAAAAATCCTCTTTTTGTTTGGTATGTGTAGAAGAGTCATACATTTTCACAAACAAATAATTACTCAAATTACAAAATTACCAAAATTTACGAATAACAAAAAAAAGAAAAAAATCTCTTTTTTTGTTTGTTAGTGAAGAAGAGTCCCTTTAATAAGTGAGGTAAGAGTGAAGATTCTGAACAAAGACGACAAATGTGCGATTGAGAGAAGGAAGAAGAAACCTTTAGCCTCGGGAAATGACGAAGAGGAAGAAGGAAGTAGTTGACGTCGATTGTTCCGAGAAGAAAGATTTTGTGATTGATTGGTCTTCAGCTATGGATAAGGAAGACGAAGTTCCCGAGCTGGAGATTGTTAATACCACCAAACCTCCGCCGCCGCAAACGCCAACGTTTCTCTCCGAAGATCAGACGGATTCTCAGATATCTCTAACCGATCGTGCCCTAGACGAGCAGCTGGAGCGTAGCAAAACGAATCTTGTGACATTAGGTCCGGGTTTACCCGACAAGGGTGAGAGAATCCGACTCAGAATCGTCTACCTTGAAGAAGAGAAGCAGCGTAGGGTTTTAGACCGCTCGAAAATGGTTCGCATTCTCATTCAATTGCATGCTGGTTTGATTTTTTTTTAGATAGTGTTTTGGGGTTTTCAAGTTTATGCTAAAGTTTCGATTTTGTTGAGTACATTTCCGTGTATCTTCCAAGCTAGATTCGAGTTTATTTATGTGTATGATCCTTAGTCATGGTAACTACTAGGCATTGAACATGTGAAATTTATGTATATCAAGGGGTTTTTGTGATAGAGATTGTTATCTGATAAAGGAATGGGATTGATGTTAGTTGAATATGAATATGATGCTAACAAAGACTCTTTCCTTTTTGGCAGGAGGTGGACAGAAGTTCGAAGGTCGTGTCTTCGACAAGCTCAGGTATTCTTTGTGGATAATGTTAAAGTTGTTTGTTTCTAACATTTTGGATAATGTAACTATGATATGCAATATGCTTTCTCAATAGCTTAGCTCAGTGTCCCAATTTTTGGACTTAAGTTTAATGAGTTACGCTTCATGTAGGTTCAGATGTCTTAACACAAGGGAATGCAGCCTCAAAAGACACTTCTAGGCAAGGGAAGACAGACTCAAAAGACACCTCTAAGCAAGGGAATGCAGCCTCAAAAGACATCTCTAAACAAGGGAAGACAGACTCAAAAGACACCTCTAAGCAAGGGAATGCAGACTCAAAAGACACCTCTAAACAAGGGAATACAGACTCAAAAGAAGTCTCACGGTCAACGTTTTCTGCCTTTTTCAGTAAACCAAAAGTATGGAACTTCTACCTTTTAACATTTAAACTGTTTTAGATGGGTACTTCATCATGATACAAATTTGTAATCTTTATTCAACAGACAGATACTCAGTCAAAGAAAGCATTTGGTAAAGAACTAGAAGATTTGGGATGTGAAAGTAAGAAACACAAGGCTGATAGAAAGCCCGTAACAAGGCTGAGCAGCGGGTGGCGGTTGTTGTCAGATATAGGGAACGCTGAGCACAGTGAAAAGCAGTTTGATTCTGGATTTAAAGGGTCAAATGGGAATCAGAAATCCAAGGAATCTTATGGAAAGAAAAAGCGCAAGGAATCTTCAATTTATTCTCTGCTTGATGATGATGATGATGACAACGACCCCATTGGTCATGAAACTCCTAGGTTCGTTCCCTTTTTCCTTTTCCAGCTGTTTCTGTTACTGGTTTGTTGTTTTTTCTGAGGGTCTCAAGTTTACCACTGCTGGTTACTGCAATTTTGTTGTGACATACCGTTCTGGTACGTAAGAGAATGAGTTATGTTGTAATCGCTCAACCTCTTTCTCTCATAGGGAGTGGTCGTGGCAAGAATCTTCATCAGAAAGTTCAAAGCGCCATAAGGTATTCTTGCTTACTCCTGTTACCATATATCTCACAATTGCATATTTTACGCAATTATTATAGACCTCAAGAAATTTACACCAGCAGAAGCATGACTCATTTTCTAAAAACTTAGGTTATTTTCCAAGAGAAAATTTTATAAATTCCTTACGAAAGAGTTCAATTTTTGAACAGTTAATTCCTCTCTAGATAAACTGAAGACCTGTGCTATTTAAAAGGAGTTATACTTGCCAGGAAAAGCTTCCTATTTGGATATGTCATTTATTTGGCTTCTTTAATAGTGTCCTTACTCCAACTCATTTGCTATGTTGTTCTTTTAACTTATTTGATGATATTCCCTTAAAAAAACTACAGAAATCAGAGGATATAGTGATAAATGTGGATGAAGAAGAACCTCAGCCTTCAACAGTGGCGGAGCAAGCGGTTGAACTGCCTGAAGGGTAAAAAATACCTATTTTCTTTTTAGCCTCGTTTTATCACAACTGGCTGTATATAAACTAATAGTTGATGGAACATTGCAGCTTACCGGAAGACATATGCTACCCATCAAGGTAAATCTATCTCAAGACTGATCTAGACTTACTGTAAGTTTGTAACCCTCAAAATATTAATGCTTGGTGATCCAGGGATGATCCTCACTTAGTTCCAGTTTGTCTTAAAGATCTTGAATGCCTTGCGCCTCGAGAATTTCTAACATCACCGGTTATGAATTTCTACATCAGGTATTTTTGGAGTGATAGACTTGCCATATATGTTATCTTTTATTATGCTAGCACTATTTGCATGTTTTTTTTATATGATTATTGTCCTGTTTTCTTTGGTTAGGTACTTGCAGCAGCAGATATCATCGTCTAATCAAATCTCTGCTGACTGTCATTTCTTCAATACATATTTCTACAAGAAGCTCAGTGACGCTGTTACATACAAGGTGATTAGAAAAGTGTGATCCTTGGAAAATTATTATCTGCTGGCATTCTTGCAATTAGCGTTTTTATCATTGGTATTTATGTCGACTGGTCTATTTGTCTTGTCCTTTCAATGAAATAGGGGAATGACAAGGATGCCTTTTTTGTGAAGTTCCGGCGGTGGTGGAAGGGTATTGATCTATTTCGTAAAGCTTATATTTTCATACCAATACATGAAGAGTAAGTACTTTTCCTTTTAGCACTGTACTTTTAGATTTTTTTCTTACAAGATTTTTCAAGAACTTATTTGTTCAGATTCTTGTACCATGTTTTAGTCTTCATTGGAGCCTTGTGATAGTTTGCATCCCTGATAAGAAAGATGAATCGGGGTTGACTATACTTCACCTTGATTCTTTAGGACTTCACTCGAGAAAATCAATTGTTGAAAACGTAAAAAGGTGAGATGGTGAGATGCCAGGAGCTTTACATGTGACTTTATCTTTTCACATGCTTGGCGTTGTGTGCATATGGTGTCAATTCATAAAATACAGATACCACATTCACTAGATTCTATGCAACTTATCGCAGGTTTCTGAAAGACGAATGGAATTATTTGAATCAAGATGATTATTCCTTGGATTTACCTATCTCAGAAAAAGTATGGAAAAACCTCCCTCGTAGGATCAGCGAAGCTGATATACAGGTCAGTCTTTTACCTTCTTAATCCCATGATTCATGGAACTTTGTTTATACGGTTTCTTCTGAAATATGATTACATTCAGACACTGGAACCACACAGGAAGATCAATTCGTCTTACGATATTATTCTCTTTGTGCAACCAGGTTCCGCAGCAGAAAAACGATTTTGATTGTGGTCCGTTTGTGCTCTTCTTCATTAAACGGTTCATCGAAGAGGCACCTCAAAGGTTAAAAAGGAAAGATCTGAGAATGGTGAGTAATCTCAAACTCTTTTCCTGATACCGAATCACATCTTCTTCTTACTCGTCTAAACTTGTGTTCTCAATGTATCCAGTTCGACAAGAAGTGGTTTAGACCCGATGAAGCTTCTGCTCTGAGAATCAAAATCCGAAACACACTCATCGAGCTATTCCGTGTCAGTGACCAGACAGACTAAACCAGTACAGATTATGCAGCATCCAAATCAAGACATTGCTCACCGCTCTAACAGAGTTCAAGTTTTTGTTCTTGTATAGACATTAAGGCAGAAGTAATATTTGGGCCAAAAGTTAAATTAAAAAATGGCTACATAATCATAGGTTGATGTTGTAATCCATACATCTAATTTGTGTAACACCTTTGGTAGAAACTGCCAAAAAAAAAAAAAAAATCTTTCAACTTTATAATTGTAGTTTCACTTTCACAAAATTTCATTGTTAAAGAACCTCAGAAGAAGCATAAAAGAAATTGGCATCTAATCAGAGTTATGTTACAACAAGGTGGGGTTTTCTTTTCCCTAATCTGACATTTAACAGATCAAACTGATGCTTTTAAAGCGGTGCGGAACTGCTCGGGCACCCGCATCACTGGTGCCTGAACCGCCCCAATCATACCAAGCTGCCCACATGCTGCCATTTGATCGTTGCCTCGGCTAAACCGCATGAGAACCGTGCAGCCTCCTTCAGCCAAAACGTTACGAAACTTGATCATCTTGTCTTCCTCGGTCTGTATGAACTGAGAACCACTGTGTGGGTTGAATTGAATAAGGTTGATCTTGCATGGAATCCCCTGCACAAGCTCCACTAGCCTCCTTGCATCATCCATGCTGCACAATTAAAGAGTTTCTAGTTCATTATGGTTTCAGAATTGAACCATTTTAGTAGAGGAGACTTAAATTGCGGAACAGAGAGCTTAATAGCAGTCTCTACTGATGATTTCACTTACCTGTCATTGACTCCTGCGAGCATTACATATTCAAACAACACTTTGTACTTATGCCTTGAACTGAGTCCTTCTCTGAGCGTCTCAAGGAGCAAAGATAACTTGTATTTCCTGTTTATGGGCATGATCCAGTTTCTGACCTGCATGATTCATGTTCAATGAGGTCAGGTCATACCTCATGGATGACGACTGTTTCAAAGAGATAGCATGAAAAAAACCTCATCGGTTGTTGCATTCAGACTAACTGCCAAAGCGCAATTTGACTCACGGAGAAAACGCTTCAGCTGAGGAACAAGGCCGCTAGTCGAGACTGTGACCTTGCGGGGACTGAAGTGAAGTCCATTCTCGTCTACCATTATGTTTGCAGCTTTGATGACATTATCAATGTTGTGAAATGGCTCTCCCATTCCCTACAAAACACATCCAGGTCCATGAGAAACTGGAGACACCGGTATAAACAGACCTTAAATGTGATCTAAATACGTTAAATGCCAAAAATTATATGTGGAGTTTTTTGTTTGTCTAACGAACATGCATACCATAAAGACGACATTTGTTATTGACCCAACTTCATGGGAAAGTAATCGCCTGGCGTAAACAGCCTGCTCAACTATCTCAGCAGTAGTGAGATTTCTCTTCAAACCCATCCTATGAAAGCAGTAAAAATAAACATTAAACACACAAAGCAAGAGCTGAGAAAATGGCTCAAGAGAATATCTGAATTCTTCTGCTTACCTGCCAGTGTAGCAGAACTGACAATTCATGGCACAACCCACTTGGCTCGAAACACAAACTGTAGTCCTGCCACGATCACAAGGTATAACAACAGTCTCAATCACAAGTCCATCATCCAACGTGAACAGAATCTGCAACATCCTGCGAGTTATGAATCAATGAGAAGATTCCCCAAAACTCATGGAAAATATAACCGTTTCCCAGTGAGTGACTCATCCACATCATCCAACCATCGCAAAATATGAAATTTAGAATACATTTCAACTATTTAAACGGAAAAAAAAAAAAAGAAACGATCTATTCACCTTCCTAGTTCCATCTGAAGCGGAACGAATATCCTTCAAAGTTAACGCCCCAAACTCGGCATGTTCACTAATCATTCTCTTGAGATCTTTATTCAACCCTATAAGAATGAACACATTAATGAATACCAATCCTCATTGCTAAATCACAACACCTTCTGAGCAAAGACATATCAAAAGACAAACCTTCAAGTTCATCAACATCATTTGCCCATATATTGTCCTTGTATAGTCTCTTCCACAACATCAAAGCCTGTCCTGGTCTAAACCCATGAGACTGAACCCATTCCTACAAGTTGAAAATAGCCCCAAATCCACTCAAAGATCATGAACATTTGTCCTACTAGAATCAAAATTAAACCAAATGAGAATTGAAAAGGATCATACTTGGAGCGTAGCATAAGTCATACCCTTCAAGACCACCTTTTGGTTATCATCTCTCACCACAGAACCTTAAAGATAGATAATTACTACATTTCTCAGCAAAAATTAACTCAAAATCCGGAAATGAAATAAAAGTAGTCACCTTTAGTTGATGGGTACTCTTCTAGTGAAGGAAGATAAGCTGCTGAAGAAGAAGAAGAGAAGCAAGAGAAGGAGAGGCTTTTGGATTTGTGGAAGCGAATGGAATTGGAAAGACGGTGGTTGCGGAGGGGAGAGGGTAGAGTTAGGGTTCCGGGGAAAGCTGCCGTTGAAGAGAGTAGCGACGGAGTGACGACGGCGGCGGAATTGGTGAGAGTGATGATTCCAAGACGCCTCATTGTCGTCGACATACGAAATCACAAAATTGAATTTTTATTATCTCCATTTCCCCTTTTAATAAGTCACTCAAGTCGTTATTATTGCTACCAATTAATTTTAGTCACAAAATTGCTCTTTTTTGTTTATACAGTATAATAAATTAGGGAAAATTCTATAAAATAACACCAACTAATTTTCAATTTTCATAAAAATACATGAATTATTTTGATGCGTAAACAAATTACACGAACCATTTTTTTTTTCATTTCAATACTCAAAATATAAACCGTGCATCCATTTTAAGACATTTCGTAATAGGAATTACACATCGATATTTACTGTGTTCAAACCGCAATAGGAATTTAACGTTTGATAATCAATAGTTGCTATATTTGTAGACTTTATTAGAAACCATATTTTATTTCTGAATCTTTCATTACTTTTTCATGGTGTATATTCTTTGAGGATTCATATTTTGGTGATTTTTTACTTGTCCTTTTGTGTTTTGTAAATAGAAGCATCTAAGATTCTAAACTATTATTGAGAGTTAACATATCGTAGAATTTTAATTGTGTTGGTTAACAATCAAGATGTAATGTATTTTTGTTTATGTAGTAAATGTACAATGAATTCTAATTTTGAAAGTCTTTGATTAAATTTTTTATTTTATTTATCATTTTATGACATCTACTCGATCTTTTAGCAAACCAAATTTGAATTATTGCGGTATATTTAACAACATCAACAACAACAAATCTTTTTTTTTTTAAACGCAACAACACAAATTATTTAACCGTAGGCATTGGGTCTACATTAATTAGTATATAACTTTTTCTTAGGTCAATTGAGAATCGCGTTTGATTAGTAGCAAATAAGCAATAGTAGTATAACTTCTGCTTTTTGATAGAGAAATCTAATCTTAGAATTCCAAATCGAAACACTTAATAATACATCGATCAATCATGAATCACCCTACATCTAAACACTTCTTATCAAAATCACTGCAATTTCATAACCAAAAATAGCAATAAATAAACACTTAAAAATGCCACAGTTTTGAAACGATTCCACCAATCTTTCTTTTCAGACTTTATAGTAACATAAAGATTGAACAGAGAGGAACGAGAAATCAAGAAACTTGATAATGAGAATACATGAACTCCCAGAAAACCGATTCAATAACTAGAATCCAAAAACATAAATCGAGTCTTTAAATCCATGCATGATCATCGTATCAAATGATTCACCACTTATAGTAACCTCGAATATGGTGAGACAACATGTACTCAAATGGCAGTGGATCAAGAAGTCGAATCTTGCAGATCACGTAATCTTGTTTCCACGCACTTGCAAACCTATACTCCTCCATCGTCCAGATTCTTTTATCTCTTTCTCTTCTCTTCTCCATTTCCACGAACTTAATAAACGATCTCGGTTCCTCAGTTTTACAGAACTTATAAACCTTCTTTAACCCTAGAATCTTCCCGGTCGTCACCGACTTGATCACTTTATCACGACCAACGATTCTCCAACAACCGTGTTCACACCCATCGGTTTTACCTGAATTCACACTCCGGTTAACGAAGAAGTATCCTCCGGCTTGTACGACCATAGGATCTCCAGTAACGAAAAGCGTCCATGGATTCTTGCAGTACACGTCTTGGCTTCGGAGGAAGTGACGAGGCCAAACGATTACGTTATCGATCATCATCTTCAAATAATTTGCGACGATTGCATCTTCAATTGATTGTTCACGTCTTGACTTCATCATCCTTATTCTCTTCAATGAAACTCAGATCTTTTAGAAGAAGATGATTTAGAGAATATGGTGATGATAAAGGTGAGAGAATCAAGAAACCGAAGATGTAAAATGTGAAGATGATAGTGTTTCTTGGGGAAGAAGGTACTAAATATATATAGAGGCGCTTCTTCGTTTGTTGGTGCCGTTTATGTTAAATTAGTCTATTGACCGATTTGTCCTTTGTTTTCTCTCTTCTCTTGGTTACACTTAACGAAATAATTCTATAATCTTTGCTTATTGAAATAATTCTATAATCTTTGCTTATTGAAATAATTAGACGGATAGTTGTCAGTTATTTGTATACTTTTACTTTAGATTATAATTAAGTCAAAGTTCTTAAATAATATTTAAATTAAATTGAATTAACAAAACGTGGAGAATATGCATATTTTTTTAACATCTTCTTTATTTAAATTAAATTAAATTTATTATATAATTGTAAGATATTCACGTAAAGTACAACAACAAGAAGTTATTTGACGATTATATTGAGAAAATCATATCGCCGGAAATATTGGAGTTTAGTTCTTGACTTTCTTAAATAAAATTAAAATCGCAACATAGAATTTAATGTAGTTCCTATAAACCCCTTAAATATCGATTGTTTATCAAAATATTGTGTTCTTATCATTTATCAATTTATTTTCTAATGTTTTTTCGGTAATTGTGTTTTCTAGATAGTTTCTAGTTATCAATTTAGATAATTAATTAAACGATGAGATATACATTGGAAGATCATATATATCTTCCATCCCGAACAAATTGGAGTTAGTTTTGACATTTTATTTTCTTATAACATATTCAATCCAATTGATTATTTTTTCCTTTTCTTTTCTTTTTCAATTTAAATAATACACCTAGAATTAAACCCCAACGAAAACTCTAAACAAAACGCATAAATTAAATAAAATAAAAGCTAAAGAACCCGATTACTATTCAATTTAAATAATACACCTAGAATTACCAAACCATAAAAAATCATCATAACCTTCAAAACCATTAATATCTTGTTGAGGGAGTTCTCTAGGGGCCGGCGCTGGAATCTCCTCGGCCGCCGGAGGATGAATCCGTGGCAAATTAAACTGATAGCCGCCAATGAGAAATTTGCTAGAAGGTCTCTTGCAGTTTACGCAAAGCTTACACCTTGAATGCGGTGGTACTGTAGCCTCTTGAACGTGAGTCATCCGGTCGCAATCATCGCATAGAAGCTTGTTGTGTGCAGAACAATAAACAACAGCATTTGAATTCGAAGCTAAGCATAACTCACATCTCATTGCAAACATCCATCTCTCGCAATTGTTATCCCCATGGCAGCTCCTCTCAAACATCCCTGCTCTTCTCTGCTGATGATTATTGTTATTGTTATGGTCAACCACATGAGGCATATGTGCATGATCATGGTGTTGAGTATTGTTGTTAGGGTATTCTATGCGTCTGACCATTTGAATGTGATGGCCATTAGGGGCACAATTGTAATGTGTTGAATAACAAGGTTGACAAAGAGCCTTCCCGTGTTCGTAACAAAGAAGTATAGATGGATTTATCGTGCAGTTATCGCAAAGTTGGTAACGTATGTGTCCTACATGTAAGTTATTACAATGGTGCAAGTAGTCACATGTAAGGCAGAAGTTAAGACTTTCTGTAACACAATGGATCACGGCTTTTACATGTCTACATGTGTGACACACTTGAGCCATGTTTCCTGAAAAAATATACATAAAAGATAACAAAATTATCAAGTTAGCAAAACGGAAGAGAAGAAACAGAGAAACAATGAACTTACACACACCAAGAAGGAGAGAAGGAAGCCAACTTTTTTTTTCTCTGTGAAGTAATCTCTATGACAAATATTTATACATAAACGCAATGTATAGAATAAGCTCGCATTTAGATTGAGTTTCTAACTTGTAGATTTTTTTTTTTTGCTAACTGATTAAATAGAGGGATAATTCTGTTATCTTATTTAGATTAAGTATGTAATTATCTTTAACTATAAATTATTCTCAAAATTCAAAATCATATTTATTAATGAGAAATTTTGGAAAAAAAAAAGAAATATTTGATATTTGAAAAATTGATCCTTGTTTCTCAATTTTTATTTTCTCATTTTTCTTGGAAATTAATAAATCTTTCACTTTTTTTTTGGAACAATAAACCATTAAGAATGGAATTCAGTGGCTAAAAGTGGGAGAGGCGGTACTTCCAAGAATTTATTTTCCTAGTTTGATTCACACAATTCTCACTTAAGCAGAAAACCATATTAAACACTAGTACTTTTTATTTAGTTATGATTACAATTTATGTTTTTAGATCTTGAGGGCAAACGCAATAACAGCTTGTAGCAAAACATAATTCTTTGCATTTTGGTGTACAAAAACTAATCCCATTTGGCTTAACCGATAGTGAAGCTTCAGGATGCAGAGAAGTTTCTTCAGGTAAGAGACGTTTCGACTCAGCAATCTGAAATGTCACGGATATCATCACTACAACACATAAGTGTAATAAACATTAGTAACACAATACAATTTTTCATAACCGTATTATAGTACAAAAACATTAAATTTACCAGTAAAAGCTAAAAGGATGATGAAAGCAGACTTAGACGAAATTTTTCCCATCATCATAGAAAGATTGTGTTTTTTTTGAAATTTTTGTGGACTTAGAAAACGATGTGATATAGACAATGTTGTATAACGTTTTTATAGAATAGAGAAAGTGTGCTAATTAAGGAAAATTAATATCAAAATTTTTCTTTGTGGTGAGAATTAATTAAAATGATATCGAGAATGAGATAAGATAAGATAAGATCGAATCTCTTAATATGGTCGATAATCAAATCGACAATTGTTGTACCTAAGATTTCTATTAATTAAAGATGAGAAGATCTTCAAAATATTGACTATATTGATAAAAGTATAAAAAAAAAAAAAAAAAAGTTTGACAAAAAAGAAGCCCATTAGGAAAACCCAAACAAGCCCATTATGTAATCAAGCCACGGTGCTTAAAATGCTCGTTGGGGTTTGGCATGTCATGTGCCATCCTAACTTGATTTTGTTATCAAACATGTACATGATTCAGAAATTTGTGGTTGGTTTCGAATCATGTAAATGTTTGGTTTCATTTCATAGATTGGCTACGTTTGGGCTCAAATTTAATCTGATGTGTGTGATTGCTGCTAATTTCATTGTTATATTCGATTAGCGTTATTTTGTGTTTAACCACAAACTTCACCTCTCACAACCACAAACCATGGGATGAGAACAAAATAAGCATATTAGAAGTAGTCTCTAAACCAAATTGAATAGAAAAACTAAGAAACCATATTGTTGAAAACAAAAAAAGAACACAAAGACTCATGAATCCATGATCAGTTACTATCTAGTATGTTGCGTTAGATAATTATGATATCCAGAGTAAAAGTCTCTCCTTGTTACCTTGGGCTTAGTGGGATTAAGATCTTCTTGATAACGCACAACACTTTATCCTTCTTCTTCTTTTCGTCAAGCCTATACTCTTCTATAATCCAAGCAACTTCCTTCACATCTTCTCCTTCACAAACAGTTATTGGTTCCTCATTTTCCGACAACTGAAAAACCCTACTGTAACCAAGAATCTCCCCTGTTTTTGACTTGATACCTCTATGACCTTCTACGATCGTCCAGTAACCACCACCATCACATTCATCGGTTTTACCACAAGCCTTTGTCCGGTTAGCAAAGATACACGTTCCGAACTCTTTAAACTTGTCATCTTCAGGATCTACAAGCGTCAATGGATGCAAACGGTATACATTGTTCGTAACGTAGCTAGGCCAAGTGTTTCCATCGTAATTGATTATCGTCTGCAGATAAAATGCACCCTCTGCTTCTGTATCGAATAAACACACTCCATAAGCTGGCAACAATTGATTTGCAGGACGCGGTGACCTAGTGGAGAGATACGAGAAATGCTTGGCAAGCAAGAAACTGATCTCAGCTTCGAACAGAAACCGAATCTTGCAAATCACATAATCTTGCTTCGAGTTCAAGTTATTGGTAAGTCTATACTCTTCCATTACCCAACTTCTCTTGTATTCTCTAGGTTTCGTCTTCTTGCAGAACTTGAGAATCTTCTTGAACCCTAGAATCTTCCCAGTCTCCTTCGATTTTATCAGTTTATCACGACCAATGATCCTCCAGCAACCCGATTCACATCCATCGGTTCTACCACAAGCCTCTTTTCGTGTTTTAACGATCACGAATCTAGTGATCTGAGAATAAAACTCGACATCTGGATTCGTGTTGAACACGTCTACGTCTTCGATGAAGTGATCAGGCCATGAATCTCCGTTAACGATCATACGCTTCAGGTAACGTGAGATTATTACTAACCGGGCCTTGTGGCCTAGTGGTAAAGGGGTCACAGCTGTGACTTCCGCCACCAGGGTTCGAGGCACGGCCACTGGCAGGTTTACATAGGGGAATTGCCAGCCTCGTGGGATTAGTCCTTGGGCCTAGGAAGCCTTTGGGAGACCCGCGGTTATTCAAAAAAAAAAAACGTGAGATTATTACTTCGTCTTCTGCTTTGATCAATTCGTCTTTGATCAGCCAATAATAAGTTGCTTCGTCTTCTGCTTTCATTGGTTCGTCCTTCATAATGAAACTTAACCGATCAAGAAAAAGATCAAACGCAAGAATGAGTTTTTGTTTCTTGGAGATGAAGCGAAGAAGAAGAGAGACTCATGTAATCATGTTAATAAATGTGCTTTTAAATACTTAAGTTAGTGGCGGACCGTTATATCTAATTTTCGTGATGACCAAATAACCCTCGATAATCTCTCTTTATTTCACTACCCTCGTCTTCCACGGATATTTTTTGTTTTCCAAAATTTTGTGATTATTAATATAAACTAGGGGAAAATCCGGGCTACGCACGGTATATACTGGACAGTTCAGTTGAGAGTTTTAATCCGCACTATATAAGAGATTTAAATTTTAATTGTTTTTAAAAATTATGTTAAGAAATGTTTTAGTAATTAGCTTTTTACAAATGTTACTGTTTAATGTTTAACTTTTTTCATAAGACGACATAATTAATTAAGTTTTTTGATAATTCTTGCGGAATATTGTAAAACTACGTATCACCAACTATATAGTTTTCTATGTGGAAAAATCATGAACTCAAAGATATAAATCCGAGAAGATATAATTTTTTTTTTGGTAATGAAGGATCTTCTGATGAGCTTCGACAATGAAATTATGTATTTTTTTAAATAAGCTTTGGGCATCAATGGATTAGTGACTACAACTCAAGCATATGCGATAAAACATAAATTAGATTGTTGTAAAGAAAAACTTAAATCCTAATGACAAAGTATCATGAATCAAATTGACTATATAATCTAAGAGTCAATGCCATTGAAACCAACGTTTAGCAACAACCTGATGGTGGCCCGTATAGGAAAGAAATTTTCTTGTCCTTCATTTTAGAAGCCCGAAAGACATTGATAGCAATGTGATTTGATACCAACATCACTATCTTATCATTGATGAGATTTCAGAGAAACCAAATTATTGAAGACTGTAATGAAGCCTATTGATCAAGTGCGATTGTATGAGTTCGATCTCCATCTCTCCTCCTCCACCACTCCAATTATAAAATTCAGACAAAAAAAATTCTAATTCAGCGTATACTCAACAAATGGCTTTAAAGGTTTAATACTTGAGTTCATATTGATCGGGGTGTGATTGTATGAGTTCAATCTCCATCTCTCCTCCACCACTCCAATTATGAAATTCAGAAATATCTTTCTAATTCAGCGTATACTCGAGTTCCAATGGCTTTAAAGGTTTCTTAACACTTCCAGTTCGACATGTTATACATATCTCTTTCACATCTCTATAGCTCATTGGTTGCATCATGGTGGCTTCTTCTTCTGTGACAATAAGAGAACAAAACAATAGTTTATATTAGAATCTAAAGGGTAGAGCAGCAGAATGCACTTGGTCTACAGAGATACTTGCTACAAAATCGAAAGAAAAACTATTAGGCTGCTATGTAAGCAAGCAAACATCACACATATAATAGTAAAGAGGAACTTTACCAATTTAAACATGAGACATTGATCTTGGATACAACTTGAGAATCGTTTTTATTTTTATCCTCTTTGATCTTGATGGAATGGCTGCACCATTTCCCCAAACCATATGCGTCTGATCACTACATATGAGAACACACAATGTCTATATATACTAATGTAGCTTTTGGTTAAGAATATATTTGTAAAGTAAATTCTAAAAGCTAGGAAAATTAACCAGCACGAACAACGCTAAGAGAAGTAGAAAAGAGTGAGCCTGTGTTCATATAAGATTTTAAACAATCTCTGGCTGACCAAGAGACGCAAACCCACGTCGCTCTCGAATATTACGATTGTTGGCTCCTATAATCAATAGAAAACGAATGGTTACTTAAGCAGGGAGATAACGATTTTCTTATGTTAAGATTTTGTGATAGAAAGTTATAGTTGGTTTGATGAAATATGTACAATTAATTATCTTATTTCGATACAGGCAGTAATATAAATTTTTCTTAATTTATGAAACACCTTTTAAGAATGTTAAACGTTTTTTGCCGAAAAAAATAAAGAATGTTAAACGTTAACGGATCATATTTGGCACTATTTTGTCTTCTTCATGCACACTTTATAGTTTTTTTTTTTGGTAAAATGAACACTTTATAGTTTGTTAAACGGATATTTTTATCCTTAACTATACAATTTTTAATAAAAAAATACAAATATATTATTGTAACAGTAGGCAAAATTCTGGTTTGAATCAAAGCCTCTAATGAGATTTATTCGCAATATTTAGAATTGCCAACGAAATGCATGATTCACCAACTCTTCCCCACTGTTTGTTAACATCTGATTAATATAAATCAGTAAAACTCACTGTTTAGTAATGTTGGAATCATATTAGGAGTAATGGAGATTGACCGAGATTCGACGGTATCATGATCTTCTATATCCTTTTCGAGGTTGCTGATTCAGAAACATTTGTACATGTTTGGTTTCGAATCATTTGTACATGTTTGGTTTCTTTTCATACATTAGTTACGTTTAGGCTCAATTTGTCTCTGATGTTTGTGATTGCTGTAATATCGTTGTTTACATGCGATTAGCAAATTGCAGCGACAAAAAAGCCTCTCCTCTCACGACCACAAACAACAGGAAATAAACAAATAAGCATACTAGTAGTTAAACCATATTGAACAGAGAAATAAGAAACACAAAAGACTCATGAATCTATAGATGTTTTAAAGAGAAAGATGTGTGTATCTAAAATGTCCGTAAGATGATAACAAAATCCAAAGTAAAGGTCCCTAGTTATAAGTAAACTTTGATAACGCACACGAATTTCTTCTGCTTCACGTTAAGCCTATACTCTTCTATAGTCCAAGTTATCTTCACATCTTCTTCATCACAAAAGTATCTTTCTTTCTCCGTTTCATAAAACTTAAAAACCTTCTTGAAACCAATGGTCTTCCCGGACTTTGACTTGATCAGCCTATCACGGTGCAGGATCTTCCAGTAACCACCATTACATTTATCAGTTTTACCACAAGTCTTGTTAGCGAAGATGCATGTTCCGTAATCATGAAACATCCGATCTTGAAGATCCACAAGCTCCAATGGATGCAGACAATACACGTCGTTTGTAACGTAGCTAGGCCAATCGTTCAATCCTTCAGAACTCATTATCGTCACCAGATAAGATATATCCTCTACTTGTTTATCTGATGAAAGGAATCCATAAGCTGGCAACAGCTCATTTCGAGGAAGTGATTCTGATGTAGTGTAGAAATGCTTGGCTAGCAAGATACTAATTTCGGCTTCAAACAAAAATCGAATCTTACAAATCACATGATCTTGCTTCCAGTTCAAGTTATTGGTAAGCCTATACTCTTCCATTACCCAACTTCTCTTGTATTCTCTAGGTTTCCTCTTTAGGCAGAACTTGAGAATCTTCTTAAACCCTAGAATCTTCCCATTCTTCTTCGATTTTATCAGTTTATCACGACCCATGATCCTCCAGCAACCAGATTCATCACTTCCATCGGTTTTAACACAAGCCTCTGTTCGTGGTTTAACGATCACGAAGCTAGGGCTCTCAGCATCGAACTCCACATTTGGATTCTTGTTGAACACGTCTGTGTCTTCGATGAAGTGATCAGGCCATGAATCTCCGTAAACGATCATACGCTTCAGATAACGTGATATTATTACCTCGTCTTCTGCGTTTAACAGTTCGGCTTTGATTAGATCAAAAGCTGCGTCGTCCTCCATAAAGAAACTAATTCGATCAAGAAAAAGATGGGATCTAGAGAAAAGAAGATCAAACGCAACAATGAGTACTTGTTTCTTGGAGATGAAGCGACGAAGAAGAGAGACTCATGTTAATAATTGTGCTTTTAAAAGTTAGTGGCGACCGTTACATCATATTTTAGTGTTAACCAATTTACCCTTGAGGATCGCTCCGCGGATACTTCCTACTTTTTACTGTTTTCCAAAGTTTTCTTTAACTTTTATCTTTGTGATAATGGATAATTTTTTATAAACTTTTTTTTGTTTCTTCTGGTGTGCTTAAAAGAGCTTGTTAAAATAAATTAGTGCCACTTAAAATATACGATAGTTGTTTCCATTGACATATGAGTTAAGTGGCGGAGCTAGAATTTTAATTTATAGGGGTCATATATAATTAATTATTTTTTATTTAATTATATATTAATATTAAATCATTTATTTTAAACTAAATAAAATATTTCTAAGAACAATTTAAAAAAAAACTAAGGAAAAAAAATAGAACATATCTAAAAAATAATATGTACCATGATTTTAGAGATTTGTAACCATATATTAGAAAAAATATAAAACAAAAAATGAAAAATGAATTAATGCTAAATAAAAAATAAACATGTGAGGGGTTAAATTAAGGAATTGATTGTTGGCATGGGGTCATTATGGAAAAATTAAACTAAAATATCCATAAATTATTGTCGTTTACCTTAAAAAACAAAAAAAAATCATAAATGTTATGGGGGTCAATTGACCCCCCCCCTCCCTCTTCACTACCTCCGCCACTGTATGAGTTAATAGTCTTATATTGATAGAGGCAGTAAAAATAAATTTTTCTTAATTTATGAAAACACCTTCAAGAATGTTAAACGGATCTTATTTGGCACTATTTTGCCTTGTTCATGTTTAACACACTTTATAGTTGTTATCCTTACATAACAAATATATGATTGTAATAGTAGGCGAAATTCTAAATTTATTGGCAATATTTAGAATTACCAACGAAATGTATGATTAGCCAACTCACTGTTTGTTACAGCTGATAAATTTTCGAATGTATACATTAATTAGTACAATTCACTATAGTTTATGTTCACCTGAAATTCGTATCTTTATACATTTCGGGTGAGCCATGGATCTAAATCTTAAAGTCAAGCTAAAATCACGGATTGACTCAACATAACATATAGAACTCAACTTGTCTGACCCATCAAAACAACCCTAAGACCAAATTTTCATTGTAAGTACTGTTCGTGCTTCTCAGATTTAAGGTTGAAACGTTGATGTTTAACTGTTTCACTCTTCTGAATTTTCTCTTCTCCTACAGAATCAAACACCTAAATAATGTAACCAAAAAGTCCAAAACCAATGCTTAATGCAACACACAGAGCCGCAGATTCTCTGCTCAATTTGTCTCTCATGTTTGTGATTGCTGTTAATATCGGTGTTATATCGGTGTTTATATGCCATTAGCTGTGTTTAACAAATTGGAAGCACAAAAAGCATCTCCTCTCAAAGCCAAAAATAACACAGGGAAATAATCAAATAAGCCTACTAGTCTTTAAACCACATTGAACAGAGAAATAAGAAACACAAAGACTCATGAATCATGACCATGTTCGAGAATGTCCGTAAGATGATTGATCATGAAATTAAGAGTAGAAGTCCCTAGCTAGTTATCAAGGCTAAACTTGATAACGCATATCACTTTATCCTCCTTCTCCTTTTCGCTAAGCCTATACTCTTCTATAGTCCAAGTTACGTTCACGTATTCACCTTCCCAAACATATCTTCGTGTTTCATAAAACTTAAAAACCTTCTTGAAACCATTAACCTTCCCGGTGATCAGCTTATCATGGTGCAGGATCTTCCAGTAACCACCACCATCGCATTTATCAGTTTCCCAACAAGTCCCGTTAGCGAAGATGCAGGTTCCGTAATCATGAAACATCGGATCTTGATGATCCACAAGGTCCATTGGATGCAGACAGTACACGTCGTTGGTAAGGTAGCTAGGCCAATCGTTTCCCTCACAAGTCACTATCGTCACCAGATAAGATTCATCCTCCTCTTGCGTAGTTGATAAATATCCATAAGATGGCAACAACTCATTACGAAGAAGTGATTCTGATGTAGTGTGGAAATGCTTGGTTAGCAAGAAACTAATCTCAGCTTCAAACAGAAGCCGAATCTTGCAAATCACATGATCTTGCTTCCAGTTCAAGTTCTTGGTAAGCCTATACTCCTCCATCACCCAACTTCGCTTGTATTCTCTAGGTTTCGACTTTGGGCAGAACTTGAGGATCTTCTTGAACCCTAGAATCTTCCCAGTCTCCTCCGACTTTATCAGTTTATCACGACCCATGATCCTCCAGCAACCAGAATCACATCCATCGGTTTTACCACAAGCCTCTGTTCGTGGTTTAACGATCACGAATCTAGGTCTCTCAGAACTGAACAGCTCATTTGGATTCTTGTTGAACACGTTTGCGTCTACGATGAAGTGATCAGGCCATGAATCTCCGTTGACGATCATACCCTTCAGATAACGTGAGATTATTACTTCGTCTTTTGCGTTTAACAGTTCGTGTTTGATTCGATCATAAGCTGCGTCGTTCTCCATAATGAAACTAAATCGATCAAGAAAAAGATGGGATCTAGAGAGAAAAAGATCAAACGCAAGATCGAGTGTTTTGTTTCTTGGAGAGGAAGCGAAGAAGAAGAAGAGAGACTTTATGTTAATGGAGGTGTTTTTTAGTTAGTTGCGACCGTTATTTATATGTAAACTTTCTTGTAGACCGATTTACCCTTAATCTTCTATCTTTATTCTGCAACTACGTACCCGTCATCTTCCATGGATATTTGTACTGTTTTTCAAAGTTTTCATGTTTTATACGAATAATTTATTACGATACAGTTAGTAAAAGAGCATTAAACGCCTTTAAGTAATGTATGGAGGATTAACAAAATTGGATATAAAACAAGAATGCATTTTTTTCATTTTGGCACCATATTTTCTTCTTTATATTTTACACTTTATTGTTGTTAAGCAGATATTTTTATTCTTTATTAACAAATCAATTCAACAAAAATTATCGTATGAGTAGGAAAATATCTTGGTTGAGTCAAAGCTCTAAGCCTTTAGTGAGATTCATTCGCAAAATTTAAATTTATCAACTAAATACACGATTCGTCAACATTTAATCAAGTAAATTTTAAACAAATTATGTTGATTTAATCGGGTTTGAATCGACCGTTTTCCATATATGTAGTAGTAGTTCACCGCATAAAATTAATAAGGCCGAATAAAAACGGTCAAATTATTGTGGATCAAATTATTAAGTAGTATTGGTACTATTACAATTTTCTTAGAAAAATTGTTATATTATGAGGGATTCATGTTAAAACCTACTATTATATATGAATGAAACGGAAATTGTCAAAATCAGAAACGCAATTCTCATGGCTTAACTCTCTCATACTTCGTTGCCACACACAAAACAAGTACTTCTCTTTTTAGTGACAGTGCATATAAGTGTCATTTGAATGCAAAGTATATATATATGCATATACTAGTGTCTAAAACCAGCTTTTTTGCCGATTTTTCTTTTTAATTTTACTAAGTTGATCAAACATATTATATATCAACAAAATGGGAGAGAGTGACAGTTTTGCAGAAGAAAAAAAAAACCGATGAAGCAAATCTCAAATTAAAAAAAAAAAGAGTAACCAAAAGGTCCAAAAAATGACCAAAACCTTAATCAATAATATTCCACGTCATATCATTCTCAAAGATCCAATGGCAAACTTCAATCCGACCCGGACCCGAGCCTAAAGCCAAAAACGCTCCATGACTCGGACTCCAAGCTGACGTGTCAATATGACAGATGGCAACACCATGGTTAATCTTCTCTAAACTCTTCGGGTCAAGTAGATCCGTTTCATAAACCCGTACCCGAGGAACCGAGTGACAATAATACAGTAAATACGGATATAAACTCTGATGACACGAAACAGCTCTCGTTACATCTCCACCGTTGATTCCATTGACTTTTCCAATCATGACCTTCTTCTTTGATCCGACGACATTCTCCGGCGTTCTCACCACCACGCCGCTTCCGAGCACCGACGTAGCGAAATCTATCATATCCTCCGCCGATCCAACGCACCGCTTCGTCTCACCTTTACTCGCCGGTCTCTCACACTCCGAAACCGCCGACGAGATTATCCCCGCCATCGATGAATTCTCTCCGGCACCAAAAACCCTCCAAATCTCTCCGATCTTAGATGACGAAAACGGTAAGTTCAAAACTATGTTTCGGGGCAAAAACGTCCTTTTAGGCATTTTATCTTTAATATCCGGCATTTGCATCAAAGTCCCTTCTTTCAACATCGATTCTCTAAAGAATTTACCCTCCTCAACCCATTTATTCACCGTTTTGCCACTGGAACTCACATTACTAGAATAATGCGCAAAAACGACGCCGTCTTTAGTATACACCTTGAAACTCTGTCCTTGGCCGTAAGTTTTGAAGCTGACATTACCTCCGACGTTACCTTGGCCGTAACCGGTGAAATTATCAGACCCGAGGTTAAAAGATTTACCGTAATTTACGAAATTGACCTTCTCGTTGTTTGAGTTTTTAGCGTAAGAAGAGAAAGAGTCAACTCCGATGTTGGATTGGTCTCTGTAATTTTTAAAACCATAAACGGCGCCGTTACCTCCGTCACCGTATCCTTTAAAGTCATTAACCGGAACATTCCCGTTTTCTCCGTAGCTCGTGAAACTGTCGTTAGCTCCGTTAGCGGTTTCTCCGTATTTGGTAAAACCCGTATTAACAACGTTTGACCCGGTTCCGTAACCCGAGAACTCATTCGGAGCTCCGTTTCCGTTTTTGCTGTAACTTGTGAACGTTTGATCTCCGGTATTGCCGTTATCGGAGTAGGTAGTGAAGGTTTGTGATCTTCCGTTGGCTTTATCGGAGTAAGAAGTGAATCTTCCGTTTGGTTCGTTAGCGTTTGTGTTGTAATTCGAGAATTCGCCGGAGCCTCCGGTGGTTCCGGTGGCGTAAGTTGTGAAGCTTTGGTCAGCTACGTTTACTTCTCCGGCGTAATTTAAAAATCCATCTTCGTGTCCGGCGGAGTTACGGCTGTAACGTCGAAACGAGTCGACGGCGATGTTATCACCACCGGAATAGTTTTTGAAAGAGTCAGCTCCGGAGAGACGGTCGGAGCCGTAGTTTGTGAAGTTCTTGCCACTGTAAGCGGCGAAGCTGACGTCATCGCCGTGTTTATCGATAGAATGAGCGTTGGCGAGCTCAGGGAAGCAGAAGAGTTTCGCGGCGGAGCAGAAATCGGAGTGACGCGTGTGAAGCGCGTGATTAGAAGCGAGTGAGGCGAAGCGCGTGGAATCCACGGCGGTTAAAGGAGAGGCTTTTGAGAGGAAAAAATAAGGTTTTGGTGTATCGCCATTGATGTGATTGTTCCAATAGCGAATCAAAGAAGCTTTTGGTGTGAATGGATTCTCCGACGCCGTAATGTTGCCGGCGGTTTGCTTAGCTCCGGCGAAATGCACCTACAAAAAAGACGCAAATTGTTACATTATACGGAATCTAATGAAATGTTTATCCAACTAAAGAGTGAATCTTTTTTACATGAGAAGATGAGAAGATGCAGAAGAAGCAGAGGAATAGAGTTGCTTCAATATTGTTCATCTTCTTGGTGAGAGAGATTTGTTGGTTGAGAAGGAGAAATAAGATGAAGAGAGAGTAATGAGACTTCACTATGATTTCATGAAGAGAGAGTGTATTGAGACTTCACTATGAAGTGAGGCATAATTATAAATTTTAGAATTAAACTGTTTTGTTTATCAACTTTATTAGGTACTACTAGATTAGGACTTGTATCTAAGTAGGACCAGTAGTCACTTTTTATAATTTTAAGAAGTTATATATCTATTGTAATTATAGTTTAATTAAAAGTTTTCAATAGTTTATGAACATTTCGTTTATAAAAAATGCATATTTAAACTTCTATAACAATTTATATAAAATTTTACCAAATGTCTTGCTCAAATTTGGCTTTGAATAGTTAATAGTTTAGTGTCGAGTTTTGGTTTTAGTTTTTACTCCCAATTAGACAGATTTGAGTTATTCAAATAAGATAGGGAATGTAAACTAAGAACTAGTTTGAAAATACTAAAATTTCTATAAGAATTAAAATAAGTTTCTTAAAGACAAAATCCAAAAACTCACTCAGACACACCACTACGGCCATATCAGCTTCAAATTATAAATTTGAGAATCAAATATTTCAACTTTATTAGGTTTCTCGAAAGAACATTAATCGAGGTTTTACTGTTTTAATCAACTGATAATAGGTCAAAAGAGTTCAAAAGAGGAAGAAGCTGGTATAACTAAACTTACAAAAAGTCAAAAAGAGGGAACATATAATTTAAATTCAGTTAAAATATTGTAAGAAAGAATCTGAATAACTAAATAAGGCTGCATAAAGTATATTAAAGATGAATCTCTCCCTAAGAGTTAGTATCAAAAAGATCAAAATTATAAGAAAGAGAAATATAAAGAAAAAGATAAAGCTGAGAGAGACTGCTTGTTGCTGAAGAAAGAGAGAAAGTAAAATAAATCAATTCAAGATTTTGAAAATTAGTAGCTTTTGATTATTTTTAGTTAATTTTTTAAATCAAGATTAATTTTGTGTTTTGCGCATTGTATTACGACTAATGATAGTTTGAAATACAACTTGGATCCATGAACCCTAGGTTTCAAGTATAAAAACTATAATCTTCATTAATAGACTATACTTAGATATCTGGAACTTGATATAAACTTGATATAAACATATCATGGTTTGTTAAGAGTGACCAATAATAATAGGTGACTTTTATAATTCTGTCTCCCACCAAAACAATGATTCTTAAAATTATTATATTACTTTTTCTTCTTCTCAATTTATTCAATAGTACAGAATCCTATATCAAGAGCGTTGGACAATGTCAATAAACCTAAGTAACTATATCTTGTACCATGATTTTTGTTTCAAAGTGATTACTCGTAAATTTATGAACGTTTTAAAGTAGAAGAATAGCGATCTATAGATTGGATGTATGCAAGAAATGGATCATCAAATTCGAAGAAATGTGGTGGTGGCTAACGTGCGACCAATGTAACTTTAGTACATTTTATAGTTTATTGCTTCCATTAATGGCCATAGAATACCGCGTTTTAGCACTTGGTGCGATGATGGGCTAGCTCTCCGATGTTTGCCGACAATAATATTCATACAGTATAGTATTACATATTTTAATAAGCAAATAGCTTAGAAGGGAAAACAACTTTAAAATAACCAGATAGGGACCCTATATATCTTTATAAAAAAAACTTTGATATTAAAAATATTCATATATTGTATATCTACTCTGAAACGTTTCTTTCATATATTTATATATTTGTAACCAAATGTATGCAGTATGCTATTTGATTTTTAGTTTGGTTTCAATTTAGTTTATTAATGTTTGGATATTTGAAATAATAATGGTTCTCACAAGTACTTTAAATTTTGGAACGACCCAGCGTTTAGACCAAGATCAAACTGAACCACATTAGTGGATTTTTAGATTTTCGTTAAACTTGTGAACTATCGAAACATTCAAAAAATGATTAAAATCTGTTTGTAACAAATAAAAATATTTAGGGGTAAGGGGGTAATTCCCCTTCCGTTCTATTAT